CTCCTTCATTCTTTGGGACTTGAATTAAGTCTTATGATAGTGATTCATTGATTTCATCATTTATTCCTATACTTTTGTTTGCAACTTTTTAATCAAAGCCCTTTTAGTTTCTCTAGTCATTGGTCTTTTGCCAAGTGAAAAAGAAGTATCAGGGTCTTGATTGCTGATTACTTCTAGTTCTAATTCCGTAGGCACTCCCAATTGAGAAAAAAAAAGTATGTTACTGATGTTCATTGCACGTGGGGAGTGATTTGGTTTGCTAATATGCTTTGTTTGTTTAAGTTGAGTTATTTAGTTCATCAAACGATATGTTATTTCATACTTCGAGGAATACCTTCTATGTCGGTTATCAGTATTTTTGTTCTTTCGAAATATTTAATTTCTTTCATTTATAATTTACATGAGTTATCCAAACATTGAATTTTTCAATTTCTGTCATTTACAAAATTCGACATACATAAATCCAAACACTGAAATCTTCAATTGCCAGAAATTGAAATGACGGAAATCTAAATTCTGTCATTTTAAAATTCTATGTAATTTGCAATTCCTTCATCCGAATGGAGCATAATGAAAAAATGTGTATTTTGGCTGGCGAGTTCCAACAGGTCTTGCATGTGCAACGGGGGGATGTCGTTGTAATGGTATCCAACTTAATCATACAGTGACATTCTAGAAAATTAAAACAATGACAGTACTACTGATTGACTTGAGATAGTGCCACAGTAGCATTCTCGGCACATGTAACTTTCTCTCTGTAGATGGAGCCGATGATGCATATGCATTCCTAAAAGAGTTGCTTTTCAAATTTGGTTGTCAGCAATACAGGTATACAACATAGCAAATCATACATCGATTTGTTCACTGTTATCTTCCATCTTTTTTCCCTGTATTCTGTGCAATCACTCCTACCTATCCACTGCCTACCTATCATATGTCTTGGATCTGATTGATTACAATTGTTTTGGTTCATGAACTCCTTTCTTGGGGTATGTCGTCTAGCTAGCATGTGAATTAAAAGGTTGATTAGTTTATTGTAAGTTTACCCTTTAGTGGATTTGTGAAAAACAAGAAGCTGGTAAGCTATATGGAGGTGATAACAAGATTGATTGTGATTTTACTTTTGGTTAATGCAATTTGTAATTAAAAAGTATAAAGCTAAACAAAGTAGTCAAAGAGCCTTGTTGGCTTACAGTCAATAGGTACTATGTGGTGACTGAAATTAGGTTCTAAAGGTGGTGTTTGGTATGGGATTGGAATAATGAGGATGGGAATGAAATATAAATAGAATCAATTATATTGTTTGGTTGAAAATAATTGCAATCAAATGGGCTTGGGTCCAATGTTTGGGTATCTCGAGTCTAGATGGCTTTGGTTTGTAATGAAGGAGTCCTTAATATCCATTCGATCAATGAAAATGTTTAAATCAGTAATTTATTTATTATAAGAAATTATTAATGTTGTTTGATAATCATAAAAGCCAACTGACCCCAAAAGATATAATTGAGTATATTATAAGATTCTGTGTTTCGTCAAATTGTTTTTTTTTTTTAAAATGGTACATGATGAATACCAACTGTTCAATTGCTTTGAATTAGCACTTTGAATCATCACTGGATTCTTTGACGAGTGATTCAACAAAAGAGAGTGCCAAAGATGACTTGGTGGATTTAGATTGTACATAGAAATGATGTCGATACCTTAACAAACAATCTTTATTTAAACTTGTCACTTTCTCTTCTCTCCCAACTCAATATCACTTGACATAAGCTCATAGACTATAATAAGGAGCAGTTATTGACACTTTAAAATATTTATCTTACACAAACGCGTGAGTGTGTGTCAATTTGAGATACTGTCACATTGACATCCCCGAGATGGGGCCAATGATGCATGCGTATTCCCTAGTTGCTTTTCAAATTGGGTTACCAGCAATACAGTTATACAGCATAGTAAATCATGTTACAAAGATATACATCGATTTGTTTACTTTTATCTTCCATCTTTTTTCCCTGTATTTGTGCATTCTCTCCTACCTATCCACTCCCTAACTACCATATATCTTGGATCTCCTTGATTACAATTTGCTTTGGTATATGAACACTTTTCCCTAGTCGTCTAAAGCATGTAAATTAAAAGGATAAAAGGGGGAAAAAAAAAAAAAAAAAAAAAAAAAAAAAAACAAACGGTTGGTTAGTCTATTGTAACTTTACCCTTTTGTGGATTTGTAACAAACAAGAAGCTGGTAAGCTATGGAGGTGATAACAAGATTGATTGTGATTTTACTTTTGGTTAATGCAATTTTTAATTTTAAAGTATAAATAGCTAAACAAAGTAGACAAAGAACCTTGTTCTCTTACAGTGAGCAGGTGCTCTGTGGTAAGTTATAGGTTCTAAGGCTGTGTTCGGGTGTGGGATTGGAATAACAGAAAGGTCAATACACTACATCAGAACACATCATTCACAGCGAAAGACTACAAGCAATAAAAGCCCTCGTCGTAAATGATGTTCCTCAATTACAACGTGCTTTTCCAGTCGCAAATAATTCCACGAAAAACACACCGTAATCTTAGTAGTAATCACATTATTAAAAAAAAATTCCTAGAACTTACTTAGTAATCTTCTTCGATAATCATGAAGCGAACTGACCGAAAAAGAAATATAAATCCAGCTCAGTTACTTTAATCCTCATAGTGATTTGAGCGTGATATGTATGAATTGTCCCTGGACAATGTTTAGTATTGGCTGATTTTTATTCATCAAAACTTCGAACCTTTTCAACGCTCAGTAAAGGAAATTATTGCGACCTCCAACAATGACTTCGGAACCTTTCCATTTTTTCTTTCATTCATAAAGAAGTTGCCTCCCGCTTGAATTCGAGAAGGTGTCTATAAGTAAGATTCCTCTAAGACGTAACTTTCATCTTTCACCTTCATTCTCTTTTTTCTCCTTTTCCTTTCCCAAACACTGACGCATAATTTCTTAGTTTTTGTGTTTCTTCCATGATAGGCACAAGCAGTGTAAATGTTCCAAAACAAAAAATTTGTTTTATCTTCCAAATTTTATTCCTTTTTCTTGGAAAAATATATTTAAATGATTTCAATTTGTCAAATTTTTCTTTTTATGCTTCCTTTTTAAAGGAGAAAAGAATTTTATTCCAAAAAAAAAAATCAACAAACAAACCAGTTGATAAGCAATCCAATCCAAATATAAATTGAAATTAGGAGAAGCGGCGGCAAGAGGTGGAGTTGGCTTGGGCAGAATGGTGGTGTGGGTTGACGGGTTAGGGCTTAGGGTTTGAGAGAGGGACAAGGAGAGTATGAATCTAATTTTAAAGGATTTTGGGTCTCGAAAAAGGTCTGCAATCGAGTAAATAAGGGGGGAGGGTTTTGTTGGCGAGACTTGTGGGCCATTGACTTTCTTTCCTTACACACCAAGGATTCCCATTATAATTGTATTTGATTTACTTTAATTCGTGATTTCCTACTGTAAATAAAAATATGAATTTATTATTTACTTGGTCACTAGGGCTCCGTTGTATTGTAAATATAACCTCCTACAAGGAGAGGAATATACATAAAATTCCCACAAATAAATACTCTCATATTAAGTTTCATATTGTAACATAGAATCATAGTAGCGATCTTGGAATTGCTGACTCTAGTTTCAAAACCCCACCACCGATATGGGGGTTGATGACTTTTTCAACCCCCATGGAGGTAGCACCACCGACTCCTTCTCTCCTTCTTAACCAACCATAGCTGAGTTAAGTGCCTAGGTGGCTCAACTCCTACAAAGCTGACTTCGACCCCAAACCCGATCCTAAATCAGGATCCTATTTTAACAACCATGACCCCGACCACGACGATGACCCAACCCCAACCTCAACTTCGATGACGACTTTGACCCTGAATTTCTCTCTACTTCAGACCCAGATCCTGACTTCGACTCTTACTCCAACCCTGACTCAAGCTCAAATCTTGATCGGGATTCCTACTAAACTTGTATCCTATGCATATTCCGCTACACAGATTATGACTTACCGACTAACGACCCCGACACATGGACGAGATTGCGCATACTGTGGTGATCCAAGACACACTCATGAGACTTGTTTTAAATTTCATAGCTACCCCGAATGGTGAGATAATCTCAAAAATTGAACACAACGCGATACGACCAGTAATGGTATTAGTTATGGATTCCAAACTTCGGATAAGAGTGATTCCACGAGCTGGATAATTGATTTCGGTGCAATTGATCATATGACGTTTGATCCTGATGATTTTTTGAATACTACCTAACCCCGACAAACTTTTATTTATTGAAGAATAAATGCTCTTAATCACTTGAGCTACAAGCCCCTTTTGCAAAAAAAATTTGGTTGATAATGGCATTATTGTTAGGTTTTAAGGATTAACTCTGCGATTATAATGATTTTCTTGTTTTTAAAATTTGGGATGAAACCACCATCTTTTTTTTCTTTTTCTTTTTCTTTTTCTTTTTTTTTATTTATAGAAAAAGCGATATTAATTATTGATAAAACATAGCATAGTACAAACAAAGCCACAAAAGAGCCAAAATGAGTACAATATCTCTAGTGACCAAACACAACAACATGTTGATTTGATCTAGAGAGAAGTACACCTAAACTAACAAATACTCAACCCCCTGATTCAGCACACTATATGTGCAAAGGTCTTGGGTTCGAGTCCTAGCATCCATGTAGTGTGTATGAGTGTAGTATGCTATTGCCCCTTTTCATAGGAAATGTCCTTTAAAAAAAAGGCACGCTAAATGCATTGTGGTACAAGTAGAAAGGATCACGAGCCTCTGCATTTAGCATCGATGCATTTGTCAGCATTTACTAAAATCTTTACCATTTGATTAATCTAATGAGGTTAATTAATCCACATCAGCATAGTTATATTACCTTAAAAAATCACATGTTGTACCGTATCACCCCTTTCACAACCTCTCTCTATCACGTCTCCCTCTTCCTAGACTCCTAGATTCCCATGGATGTCATCCCTCAACAGTCCAGCCTTAAGAGCACTTCCAGCGCGCAAGGCCAACCCATGCAAGAAGGGGCCCAAGGCCAGTTTTGTGGTTCCAACGGCCAAATGTAGCCCAGGCAAGGTGTGGGGCCTCCCAACCCGGGCAAGCCCATAGGCAAATCCAACTTGTGATGTTGCCTGGGCAAGTGACATAATGCCTAGCCATATTCTTTACTTCCCACACCAAAACCCTAAACCCTATCAAAATTAATCATTTATGTATAAAAAATAAAAATGATTTAAAGTGAATAGTAATTACCATTTGTCATGGCAATGGGTGGAAACACACTTTGCCTTTTGTAAGGGCTAGCACTATTTATCTGAATAGTAATAGCTCTTACCTCCCTTTGCCCTTTGCCATGGCAAATAGGTGGAAGTGCTCTAATGATAAAGTTGTATTAAATTTTCTTTATAACTGTTAATTTCGCTTGCCATAGACTAATCAATACTTGGGTATAACCATACTTGTGTTTTGAACAAGTTAGTTCTGTGTTGATAAAAGGGAATTCTGACAACAAATTCAATTCCACGCACTTTTCAATTTCTCCTCAACTTCCGTAGAGACCATGTTCAATATAAAGATTAGAAGAACAATATTAATAATTCTTTATTAATTAATCTTGAATCTACATGTATGTATCAAGTCCAGTATTATGTATGTATGATTATTGATGGTTACCAATTCTCTAGCTTTTTTTAATTTGATTTCTTCGAATTGTTGATTGGTTTTACTTTTATTTGCCTTATAATACATTAGGTACGTGGTTTGTTTCTTGTTTGCAACTGGGACTCAGATAATGAGGGGTTGGGATTAGACCACTGGAGAGATGATAACCATAGAAATAAAAGTCTGGGAAGAGGGTTTCTCATAAGAGCATTTCCACCCATTTGCTATGGCTAAGGGCAAAGGTAAAGCAAGAGTTGTTACTATTCACGTGTATAGTGGCAGCCATTGCAAAAGGTTGTGATATTTCCACCCATTGTCATGGCAATCACTATTCACATGAGATGTAAGGAGAGAAATTTGTATAGAGTTTTGGTGTGGGAAGTGAAGAATATAACTAAGTATTTATTTTTTAAAAAATTATGAAATTCTTAGTATTTTTTAGATTTTTTTTTTATTGCTGACGTCATCGTTGATGTCAACAAACCTAGGCTAAAGGTCAGGCTAGTTTGGCCTGCGAGCTGGCCCAATTTCATGGGTCCCACAACTTGCCCTGGCAAGCAAGGCCTGCTGGAAGCAGTTCCCTGGACTTAGGCCCTGTCCTGCTCGAGCTGCAGTCCATTGTTGTAAGTGCTCTAAGAGGCAAGGGTTGGGGAGGGTGTGAAAGGGAAAGGGGAAGATTGTGCTCATTAAAGATTGGGAAAGGTAATTGATACAGTACAACATGTGATTTTTAAGATAATATAACTATACTTATGTGGATTAATTAACTTCGCTAGATTAATCAAATGGTCAAGATTTTAGTAAATACACACAAATACACCGATGCTAAATGTAGAGACTCGGGATCCTAAGTAGAGAATTCCTAACGTACTATTATTCTAGAAATTATTGATTTCGTATAAAACTTGTAACTTAGCAAACTAATTTATTAAACTAACATTATTGTAGGTGATAATTTAATTTATGAACTTGGATACTAATTGATGTAACGACATTTCAATTATTCAAATTAATTATCTCATCCCATTGTTTGTTGTCATGTGAATCATTAAACCATAGTTAATTTTTTTTAACACGCATTACATACCAATTAGTGTCGACAAGTTAATGAATTGGTCTTCAATGCTTATAGAGCTGCTGAATTAATTAACAAGTTTGGTGACTATCAGAGCAAGCAATGTGACGTTTCTCAAGACCCGAGAAAGATTCAATAACATTATTAAAAATAATTCCTCCAAATAAATTATACAAATTTATAAATAAACCCAATCCTAGACATGTATTTATAAAAAAACCCAAGCATTATTTAAACATAGAAACACACCTAAAATCAACCCCAAAGTCAACTTTTTGGGTGTGCTTATAAATGGGTTTTGAGTGTGTGTAATGATGGGTTTTGGGTGTGTTTATAAAGTGTTTTGGGTGTTTGGTTTTTTTATAATTTCAACCTCCATTTTGGGTGTTTTAGTGAAACTCCCAATAAATTAACCATTGAAAAACCATGTCCCTATGTACAAGTTGAAAATCCATGGGCGGCTCTCATTAATATTCCCCCCCTTTTTTTTTCTTTTTTTCTTTTTTTCTTTTTTTCTTTTTTTCTTTTTTTCTTTTTTGCAAATTAAAAAGTAATATTCCCCCTTTTAAGAACCAAGAACAAAAGTCCGTGTAGCATCTTTAACAAATTATTATCATATGCTGTCTTTATCAAACAAAGCTACAAAAAGAGTATTAGAATACTTTTTGATGAAAAAGGTAGCTCATTAAAAATCACTAAACAAAACAATAATCTTGATGTGGAATACATGCAATCACCTGTAAACTATGCGTATCATGAATGCTAGTCTCATTTAGCGCTTCATCTAACTAAACCAAAAGTTAAACCTATATCAACACATGAAATAAAAAGGGAAGAAATATTTATTAAATTGTGGAAGCATATATGCTGCCCTTGCACTAAGAAAATGCATAAGTTTGTGATTATGTCATGACGCCATGTCCCACTAAACTTTTCATTATAATGTAAATTCTTTTTATGTGGAGTAGTTTGAAACTAAGAACCTAGCAAATCTGGATTCCCTTCTCATCACTTATGAAAAGTGCGAAAGGTTATGGTAGAGCAGATCACTAGCATGGTAGCCTATTGCATCATTTCTAGACCCGAAATTAGGCTCATGATAGTAATGGTTTTAACTTTTAGTTAGGCTCAAAGGTAATCGAAATATCTTGTAATCAAGAATAAGCATATTTCAGTTTCTCACATGATACACAATGTAACACATTAATCAACGAGAATTCAATTTATATGCACTTATACCCGGCGGCTTAACTAGACCTTTATGAACTTATATATATAAATTTTAGGATTTAGAAGCGTCATAGTCACTACAAGCCTATATATGACTTCTTATTTATTTTAAATTCGTAATAACCCCTAATGCCTTTTTAGGAGCTCTCATGTGAAGACTTTAGAATTAGACAATTTCACCCAAGAACCGATCAAAATTATAAAAAGTAAAAAGTAAAAAACCTTAAATTTATATAAACAGATATTCCAGTTACTTTTAAATCTTGACAAAGGAGGCAAGAAAGAATTCGTTTTTATTTTTTTTGTTTTTTGGCCAGGAAGAATTCTTTTTTACATAAAAGAATAAATAAATAAAAGTGCAGCAGGACATTGAACACCTGTCTCCCTTAAAATTTGGAGGTGTTAAGAATCTTCATAGCCCTTGAATGGCTCAAACCTCACAACTAATAAAAAAAATATTTAAAAAAATCTGCAAAACGAATAATCTCATTAGTTTAATTGGATTTTTTAATTATGGTAAACACGTGGAAAATTCTAAAAAGGCAAACGTAAAGGGGTTCGTCGTATCTAGCTAGTACGCCATCATCACACATATAAAATCTTCCCTTGGTATCAAATTCCCACAATCACATGTTTCCTAATAAAATAATAATCACAAGTGGAATTTAAAAATATTGGAAAAAATAAAAGTGGAAATTTAAAAATTAATTTAAATCCAACAGGACGACAACTGAGGGAGGTTTCATGTTTCAGAGACATGCCTGGTGCAAAGGAGGCACACGTGGGGCCTCAATACTTCCCCACGTGTTACGTCTTGGGGGCCTCGTCATGCTTTATGAACAGACAAGGGAAAACGTATCTGGTTACAGTCCCTGAGTATCTGAGAGCAGTTCCGGCTCAGCTTCCCAAGTAAATTCGTGCAGTATTCTCTACGGTAATTTTACAAGCCTTCTCCACCACGTAAAATTGAGGCACCTGACCATATAAACAAAAATATTAAAATTAAAATTTGAGGCAAAGTGTACTTTGATAACTTAGACTGCGTGATGTAAAGGGAGTAGAGCAGGATTATTCAAACGTTGGCATCTTTAGAAATAGATTTCTAGTTCTCTTTTCAATTTACTCGTAGGAAAGCAAACGGTGTTACGCACCGACTTGCTCGATTTGGTATGCATAATTTGTACATCTTTATATTGGTTTGAGGTGCCTTCTGATCTTATTCAGGACACCTTACTATATGATTTGTTGAGTTGGAGTTAGGCGTTTTGTTCCCTCTCATTGTAATTCTTCATTTTATTAATAAAGTTTCTCTCGTTCGTCGAGGATCTCTCAAAAAAATAAAAACTTAGACTGCATGACAAGGAGTTTGTAGCTCAAACGTTTAAGAGCATTTACTCTACATATTAGATTCAATTCCTCCCTCCCCAATATGATGACTTGTATAAAATAAAAATAAAACACTTAGATCACATGTTGCCTATCTATTTACTTTATCAAAATTTTATTCTCTTTTGAGTAACGGGACAAACGTAGAAACATGTAGAGTTATTAAATGTATTTTTCAACTATTAAATTCTAGGTTTCTTGAAAATCCAATAGTTAAGTATCTCGTTTACTTAATTACATTCTCTAAATTTTAATGTTGTTAACTGTTTGGATTTTCATCTAACAGTTTAATACTGGGTATTGAGACTTGAAATCTACAAGCTGATTGGTTAGGATTTTTCTAAAAGTTGATTGAATACAGGGTTTTTTTTTCTTTCTTATATGTGGTTGATTATGACATTTTATTTACATGGGGAATGCTAGAACTACCGTCCCTTTTTACCCTTCTTTCATCTTGCTTTTATCATGCAATGTGTTGTTTGAGGATAAACGTCATCTACATTTTAAGAGAAATACGATAGATTGTATTCATAATTCATGTCTAAAGGTGTGCCAACAACAAGAATGCATGATAATTGCCGAAGCCAATGTAATTGAAAGGGGCTTTGTTCATCCACAGTAGAAAGTAGAAAGTTAAAAGGGGGATGACTTTCCTGCCTATTTCTGTGGACTTAAACAAGAATACAAAGAAAAAGTTCATTCCTAAAAATTTACGTTTTGAAAAGAAACCACAAGTACTACAAGTTGACAGGCCGAATCAACAAATCTGTGGGTTGTTTCCAGTCCATTTCAACCAGATTCAGAAAAGCCTTGGACCAAAGGAAAACTAGGAAAACCCCAAAAAATAATTTCATGCCGAGAAAAGGACAAAGTTTTGTTCTTGCTCTAATTGTATCGACATACTGCATCACCAATAGTTGAGAGTGTGTTCACGTCAAAGTCTAAAATATCGATAGTATCGAAAATATCAGTAGTCCAAAAATATGGAAATATCGGGATATTATCAATATCGATAAAAATTGAATAAAAACTATGGAAATTGTAAGAAAAACTTGGAAATTTTTATTGAAACTTTAGAGGATATTTATTTAGTCAATTATCTATTAGTTTATCACAAAAAATTGGAAGAAAATGCATTGCATGATGGGTTTAACTGATTTAAGTTGATTATATAGCGAGCTGACAAATACTGTAAGAGTAAAAAATATGTAGTAATTAATAAGAGAAGATTAAACACATCATAATCATTTATATATAATGATTTACTACAATATTTTACACTTTATACATTGTATGATAAGATACATGAGTGACTTGGTACCACACAGAGTTCTTATGAGGTTCAAAATTTTCATTATCTTCAAGTGTATTGTGAAGAGCGGTCATCAAATGATAAATTACCAAAATAGTTTTGTATGTAATTGTTCAAAACTAAACAATATAAATATACATATTTTAGCATATTATCACAAAAACATAAGCAACATGGTGGTTAAGACATTTTGGAGGAGTGAAATGAAAAGGGTTTGAATCCCCTTTGTGTTTTTCTTTTTCTTTTTTCCATTACATCGATATTTTCAATATTATAATGATATTATAGCGATGTTTTGACAAAATATTGCTGAAGTGCGAGCGAAATTATCAATATCGATATTTTTCGATATTATCGACATTTATACGATATGTGTATGAATATGTTCCGAAATATTCGTGATTCGAAAAAATGATAATATCCTCGATATTATTGATATTTTGAACTATGGTTCATGCAAGGGTGGGCTATAATTTCTTATGTGGGTAAGATTTAAATAAAATTTAATTTATAAGAGAAAGCTTGAAGCTTGAAATCCCTGAAATATGTTTAATTGGAGATCTGCTTGGATAGAATAGACTAATTTTTGCTTGATCGAGTTAGGTTAATTTTTGTGATTTGAAGTGTAATGTCTAAAAGTTAATACTAAATTTCATTTTTCCCGAACATTGCACTACGCTAGAGCCCACCCTAAGCCTAAACCTTTATATTAGAAACCCTAAATGCTTATAAATTCCAAGCCTGTGCAATTATAATAGCAAATTAAATATGAAAAAAGAAAAAAACTACGAGTTGCATGGAAGCTAGTTTGTCGACCGGCTAAACAGCACCCGATATGCTACATGGTTTTGTTTGTTTGTGTGTCCCCCAGCTGGTTTTAACTCATTTAATTGGTACTTAAATCTCCATTTACTTGTAATAGTGGAACCACTAAGATAGGTTAACATTCGACTATGAAACCGATTGCAAATAGGATCCCAAATAGGTCATACCCACCCTAACAATCCTCCAAACAATTGCGTCCCCTACCCACCATGGATGGGCTATGGGGCATTACATCAAACTTGCAATTTAAAGCACACTGTCGTTGTTTCAAAAGAAAAAAACAACAAAGTGCACGTCGTTTTGATTAAGAAAAGGACTCCTCCACCCAAAAAAAGGGTTAGATTAAAAAAGGAGATTGTCATTTCAATGCTCAATTATTCCGAGAATCAAATCATGACTAGAAAGCCTTTTCACTTTTTCTTGTTTTTTTTTGTCTTTAGAATAATCAACTTACCACTAAACACTAACCATAATTCACTCCATGTGGGCACTATATTTTCTTTTTCTTTTTTGGACGAAGGTGGGCAGTGCATGGTTGGTCTACTAAATTATTTGATTTGGAACTAGGGTTAGTAAAATCTGACCTACCCAACAAATCCACCACATTACAACCAAGCCCATGTTCTCTTTCTTTAATTCATACGCGCACAAATATATCTATCATTCAAACGACTCAAAAAAGAAATCCTTCATTTATTAGTTTTCTATATTAATATATACATGCAATTAGAGAATGCACGAGTGAATACTCTTATTCACCTCAAATTATAAGAATCTGTTTCTTAAAGTATTAAGTTAACACAAGGGAAAATTAAGTCGGCAACAAAACTTTACCACAAAAAGTCTTGCCTCATAAAATGTTCATCATTATTGATCCGAGAAATCCACCACATTGAACCAAGCCATGTTCTCTTTGTTTAATTCATCATATATCGATCCTTCAACCTTGACAGAAAAAAGAAATCCTTGAATTGTTAGTTTTCTTATATACAAAACAAATATGTATCACTTCTCATTTATAAATTAAATACTTTTAATCACTTTGAGTTATAAGAATCTGTTTATTAAATTATTAGGTTAGCATAACCCTTCGTTTGGATGAGGAAAATAAACTAATAATTTAGCTAAAAGTCTGGAATTTAAGAGGAGAAATTGAAAATTCCCTTGTTTGGCAACTTAACAATGGAATTTATCAAATGACAGGCGAAAAAAATCATGGAAATTAGGGCATCAAATTTCGGAGTTTAATTTTCACCAAAAAATGCGCCATTTCACAATTTTCATGGTGCCATTTACAAAATTCCGTTATTTACAAAATTTGACATACATAAATCCAAACATTGAATCCTCAATTGCCAGAAATTGAAATGATAGAAATCTAAATTTCGTTATATTAGAATTTTATGTAATTTTCAATTACTTCATCCAAAACGAGAGTAAGGAAAAATTAAGTCCACAACAAAACTTTACCAAAAAAAACTCTTGCCTCATAAATTTTAATATATATATATATACACAAATCATTTCTAGATGGTGGTCAAATTTCTTTTGGACAAGATTTCAAATTCAAATGTCTCATCCCTCATAAAAACATCGACCTAGAAACATCCTCCCCATAAGCTTTGATGTGGATGGACCACTCCGGTCAAATTGACTCTCTTTTATATTTAAAACTTTCAACTATTTCTCTGCCCCATCCTAGTTACACATAAATTTATTTAGTTTATAATATATTTTTATATAATAAAAAAACCCCCACTATGCTAAAACATACAAGTCTTTATAGCCTTGAAAGTCATAATAAGAACTCAAAAAGTCCGTGGTTTAGTGGAGTCGCTTTCTCAACACTTGTTGCAAATGTGGTGGTTTAAGATTCTCTTTATTTAATTTTGGTTTAAGATTCCCTTTACTTTCTTTATAGCCTTGATAGTCATCTTAAAATTATTTAGTAATCAATATAATGTGATCGATGATAATGACAATTTCTTGATTAATTATAAATAAAAAAAAGTTTATAAGGAGAGCAAATATTTGCAAATAAAATGAAACCAAAAACCCAACCACATCAAATGTTACTCAAACTTTTGATATATGGAGTCCTGGATGTTTTATAGGTTTTGTGTTCCTATTGATATCATATCACTTTACGATGAAGGCGTCATTTTTTTCTTCCTTGAACTATATTGATAATGTCAATTCATTATCAGATTTCTTTTTCAAATAAATTCTCATTGAATTATACAAAACTAGTCAATCCACTTCAATTGTTAGATTCCCAGTAATTTCATCAGAGATATCGTTAAAATCAAAGTCGATATAAGTTCATTGGGAGTCTCTTGGTGATGTCACTCTATATTCTTTACAAAAATGGCCCTAATTGTGAGTTTGGTAAATCCAATTATAAGAGTTAGACTTACTTTTGATGTCAGTTAGCACCATTCTTCGTGAAAATATTGTGTGAAATGATTAATAGGCCGGGTTATTTGTTGAACATGTGATTTTATTTGACGGCATCTTGAATAGAATTACAGGAATATAACGAAAGTAAAGTGATCAATTTTATAAAATGTATATGAGAAATTAACTAGAGCCAATTATCAATATAATTCAACAGAAACACAGCCAATTATCCTATCATTTACTACTTAAAATTAGCAAACCGATAATTATTTATTCATTTGGATTCACTATTTGATGCTAAAAACAAAAAAAAATCATAACATTGAAATATTATTTAATTCATTATGTAGTTTAAAGTTTAAAGTAAGAAACCAAACAAAACCCTACCAATCTCTAGACTGTCTTAATTACCAGAAGAAGAGGACACCGGTTAAATATAATTTCTCTCCAATGGAAGGTTGAAGAAACGAATACAACAAAAGATCCTCTTGCTGTCCTTTAGAAAAATAAAACCGAAGCGCAATGATAGTGAGAATGCTCTAGAAGGATGAAATCTAAAACCGTGACAGTGAAGTGATACCATCCAACGGCTACAAATGCAGGAAGGAAAAGCTCCATCGCAGCACTGGATCCTCCACGGTGGCAGTAACCATGAGTCAGTCAGTGAACGCAATTACTTTTGTCCTGCGCGCGCCGCGTGGCAGCTTCGCAGAAACCCCGAGGCGGTGTGGTGGTACAAGCAGACCGCCACACGTGTGCAGCGGTGAATCATCAATGAATGGGGCAGAGCGGTCAGCTGCCCGGGGCTCTCGCGGGCAGCGGCCGTGCGTAGAGGGAACAAAAACCTCGGAGAAAGAGCTGCAGCGCACAATAAAATAAACAAATCCCAAGAAAAAGAACACCTCTTATCACGGCCCACGCCATCACCATAATGGGCCATGGGACCCAGCGTTGATGGTTTGTGGGGGAGGTGGGGCCCGCCGGTGTAGGAAAACGACAAACGAATCTGGGCTGTGTGACGTCGTTGGAGTGAGGGGCAAGGTGGGAAAAAGTGAAACCGTGGGTTTGGGTTTTGGAGGAGGCTGGTGGGGTTATTTATTAAGGTGAAATTACTTAATTCGATTTGCGAGACTTTGACTTGCATTTATGGCGCGTGAGAGGGACTTCCTTGGATCACCGTACGAAATAAAAAACACTTGGTAGTGTCTTGAATTGAACATTTACCAAACCAAAAAGATGAAATCAAACAAGGGAATTAGTGGTAAGCAGAAGAATTTGGTAGTGTTGAAAGCTTTTAAAGCAACCCTAAACCCAAAAGGAGTTTGGAAGGTCACTTGAAATTTCGCAAGGGACAAGACTTTCAAACCATGATTAAAAATCTAGCTACTTTTTCCTATTTACCACACTATTCATTTTACATTTCTATTTGTTATTATATGACAAAAGAAATGTTCCTAGATTCTTAATAAAGTAAAAATTGGAATCGGCCAATGTTTAGAGTGTAATTAATATTTACTTTTAACACTTTTGATACGTCTGGACAAGTATTTTGGGAGTTGTTTGGTATGCTGAGACTTAATTTATTAAATTGGACAACAATCAGATATATATAGTGTCTTACAAGTCTCATCTAGAAGGGTGAGATTTAACTCCAATATAATCCAAACCAGATCATCAAATAAAATTCTGTATTATATAAATAAATTATATCACATGACTGTACTACAATACCGCATTATAATTACTTGTCACATTGTTCTTTTAAGTGAGAATGAGAGAGAGGAGTATTTGCATGACTGAAATATTTTGACCAAATTGAAACTTCCCATTTTCAATTCTGGCTTGGTTTTCGCTTTTGAAACAAGAAAAGCAAAGCAAAACAAAGGTAAATGCCGTTGCCATGAGGCAATGCGGGGGTCGACAACAAAGACGAAAAAATCTGAATTTCTTCTTTCAAGGGCAAATGGAGGACAAAGGGCGGTGTTACCGTTACGTTTACGCGCAACGTACTCACGCGCGTGGGACCTGCCCATCTCTCTCTTTCTCTACTACACAACACACACTGACGTTAGGACGTATAGTTGAGTGCGTTTAGGTCGCGAGACGCGGGCCCCACCCAGTTCGGGAGCGCAACTGTGAAAGATCTCAGACCCCACATACGATAACATTCTCTCTTTCTCTTCTACCCTCAAAGTTCGAAAAAACAACAAGAATACCACTCCCTCAGTAGCCCCGCCCATTCCCGCCATAATGGCAATAAACGTAATAATGGTGATAATAGAGGGTGAATTGTAATAAAGTTTTAATATTGGTAACTTGGCAATGCAGGTATTTTCAGCCAATGGATTCACAAGCACGGATTTCACAAATCTGCTGTTTGTTTATTGTTTGTTGTTTACATCTCCCTCTCTCTCTCTCTCTCTCTCTCTATCTCTCTCACCAACCCCTTTTTAAAAACCCATCACCTCCTCCTCATTTCCCCCACATCTTTTTCTGTTTCTCTGGTTCTTTTTTCTCTCTGGGCACAAATTGCAACTGGGTCTTCTCAGTCTTAAATAAAAACACAAAAGATCAAAGCTTTAGACATGGACTCAATCTCCAGCAGCGCAAGAAGGCCTTGTTTCATCGAGGAAGATGATGGGTTGGCCTCACTGGCAGACATGGAAGCTGGGTTTTCTGGGAGCCACCCCCCATTTTTTTCAAGGCCTATGTGTTATGCAAGGAGGAGCGGCAGCTTCAGAAACCTCTCTGGCATGGCTTCGTTTTCTTCCTCTTCTTCCTTGTCCCCGAGATCTGGGCGGTTCTGTGATGCCAGATTTGAAGAAGCCCACCAGCCCCATTTCTTGGAAGCTTGTTTTCTCTGCAAGAAGCCACTTGGTGATAACAGAGACATCTTCATGTACAGGTTAGCCACATAAAACCCAATGAAGTTTAATAAATTCATTTCTAATCTGAATCTGGTTGAGTGTTTTCAGAAAGAAAAAAAGTGTAGAATTATAGGGATTTTAATTATTTTCTCAGATACCAAACAAGAATTAGCAGTTGGGGATCTGAGGAAACCCATTGGTTTAATTTTTAATTTGAGTTTTTGTAAATCTAGGTATTTAGATTTGAAAAGAAAAAAAATCTGGATTTGTTTTCTATAATAAAGGCTTGGATTCTGATGGGTATTTTGTGATTGGTTTAAATTTGCAGAGGTGACACTCCATTCTGTAGTGAAGAGTGCAGAGATGAGCAGATAGAAAGAGATGAGGACAAGGAGAAGAACTGGAACCTCTCTTCTTCCATGAAAGCCTTGAGAAAAAGAGAGCAAAGGAAATCAAACAACACAGCCAGCAACACCAACCAAGACTACCCTTTCCATCCAGGCAGCGGTTGCAACATAAAAAAAAAAAAAAAAAAAAAAAAAAAAAAATCAAGAAGCTGAAGTTTGTGTCCAAGAGAGTTGAAGGCCAAGGAGAGAAGAAGTGGAGAGGCAGAGCAAGACCCCCTTTTTATTTTTTGAGGGATTGTGAATGTTTTATACATATGAAGAAAAGTGTGTCTTTGTGTGCTCTTAGCTCTATGAGATGGCTCTTATTTTGGGTATTTCTTTTCTTTTTTTCCCGGTTTTTTTAGAAATTTTTGGTTCCATATATAAATATATAAATATTTTTCGTTCCCCTAATGTAATGCAAGCAAAAAGCTTCAGCTTTACAATGGTGAAGATATGGAAAAAGAAAAAGTTGTAAGATTTTCTCTCTCATTCTTGGTTGTTCTTTGGCCTTTCCCTGATGTTGGGTTCATGTTATTGGAATTTAGATTCGTGTGTTTTGGAATCTACTATAGCAATGGAAACTGGGGGTCGCTTTTTGAAAAGATCTTTGTGACTTTGCTTACCATCAAAGTTATACAGTAGTTTTTCTGTTTCTTTGCTGCACAAGTTACACAGTGGTTTGTAGCTTTTACCAACACTTTTTCAGGTACAATAGTGAATTTCTTTTTGTGGGGGAGGTTAGATCAGGGGTTGGTTGTTATAAGATTCACTACATCAATAGCTTAATAGATCCACCTTCATGGCTTGCAAGGCATATCTCTCTAATAAGACATAATAGATGCTTGCAGCAAGGGAAATCTATTTCATGGTAGATACTAGACTTGTGTCCTCAAAGTTAATGCTTATGTTGTATGATTGTGATTCTGAACCATATATTTAAGTTTAAGTTTACCTGATTAATTTTTTGAAATTACAATCTGACAATGTTTCAATTCACTGTCTGACAACATAGCGATCGCATTTATAATATCTCTTCAATTCATTGTCTGACGACATTAGCAAACGAGTTTAGTTTGACAACTGGGGTTTCATGAGATTCATTATTCACTTTCAAGATTTGATAGGATTTTGGTATGATATGGACATCAACGATGCAGAGTTATGATGGAGCATCATGCGATTGGGTTGGGTAGTGGTGAACAAAGAAATTCCAAACCATCCTTGGGAAATGGAACACTTTTACTATACTTGCCAACTTAGAGAGCTGGACCAAATTCGATCGGCAGATTATTAGGTTATCATAGGACTTTCAGTTCAAATAATTTGGCCCAACAAACTATATATTATATGGGAAGATGTAGCAGCCAGCGGTTCTACCAATACTAGGCGCAAATACTAGTTAGCAAAGCAACAATGGGCACATGCAACAACCTTGGAACTCAACCTTCTAAGTAAACTAATGTTGGAGGTGAAAACCATGATCACAAAGAGACAAACACTAACCAGACAATGTCATGTCGTTAATTAGGAGGAGCTAAATGGTTTGCAACAAATCATAATTTCTCTCTAGTGACTTATTTCCTAAACTCTTCATTAACTTCACCTTTAAAACCCCTTGAAGGGACGCATCTTATTGTTTTCAGTAGCGATTTTGGCTCTCATAATTTAATTTTTAGCCCTCGAAATTGAGGATTTTATAATTTTTAATAGTTTCGCAATGAGTGTCAGAAGCTTAAATCCGTTATTGTTATGATACCGTGGCTCATTTTCTATAAGGAGATACTCCTATTATTTTAAAATTACAGTTTAACACATATTCCAAACAAACACCACACCAAAAACACCCAAAAAAAAAAAAAAAAAAAAAAAAAAAATCTACACACATATCACATTGTTATTAGTAAAAATTTACATGGTAAGAATGAAAGTATTTTCCTTTTTTAGGAGTAACCATCAATTTTTCTTCCTTAGAAGATTTGAGCTCCCATGGTAATCCCAACCCGTTTGCGAAACTAGGGGCTTTGGAAGAGAACTTGGAGGTGGCTGAGTTTTGTTATTGTCGATTTGTGGATTAGGTTGTTTTTGTTTTTTTTCCTTCCTTCGTTTGTATCGTCCCAAACAAATCCCAATGTTCACATCATCAATAATTTGCCCTTGTTGCCAAGATTTGCCATTCCCAGTAGTTCGATATCTGTCATGGAATGCATAACAAACAAATTGAATACATAAAGCAGTGGGCTGGAGATGCATGTGGTCACCAACGTGCGGTCCATATATTTGATACCAATAGTTTGTATTCATATCGTAAGCAAGGCTACCAAAAAGAAAAAGAAAAAAGATACTAGGCAAGGATTGTGGTTAACTTTGTATTTGTTAGAAAAATTGGATTTGAAGTTGAGGAAACAGTCAAATAGGCAAGGATTAAAAGATACTAGTCATAAACATGTGAGAATTCAAAAGTTGATAAACTAGGACAAGAGGATTTAAGACCACAGATTTGTACGGTTCCAAAAATAAGCTCAAAAGGGATCTAAGTCATTAGGTGGCTGGACTAATTCCTTTCATACATAACCTCTTTCCTCACAACCATAGCCTCCTTGTTGCACCATTGACAACAAATCTGCATGTGAAAATTCATCTGATTGTTCAACGTTTCTGATTCTTGCACTCTCATTTTGCATACAGATCAACAAAATGGAGGCTACTCACAAATTCGTGTGCCAAGACGATTTGGTCAACCCACTTTCCTCCATGGGAATGCAAGTAGCTTGCATCCTTGTCATCTCACACTTCTTTCACATTTTGCTCAAGGCCTTAGGTCAACCAGGCCCCATTGCCCAGATTCTTGTAAGCATCTCGTTTTGATTAAAACAAAATAAATTTGTCAATATGAATTTTTCGAACCTGTGATATAAATTGATTGTCTAGTAAAATAACATGTCAGGTTACATATCTGGTTTATATATGAGGTTGGTTTTGTCAATCTAGGTCATCGGTCAAGTAAAATATTATTGTTCGAAACGGTGATTCTGATTTTCAGTTTGGTAACATAACATGTCAAATTGACAGGCTGGTATGGTGTTGGGTCCCTCAGGGTTGTCTAATATTACCGAAATAAAAGAATTCTTCTTCCAAGCTTCTGCTGCAGAATACTATGAGATGTTCGGGTTCTTCTGCCGGATTCTCTTTATGTTCCTCTTCGGTTTGGAGATGGACTTTGCCTATGTACGCCGCAACCTGCGCGTAGTGTGCATCGTAGCCTACGGTGGTGCCTTTGCAGCCAGCCTTTTAGGCCTTACCGCCTCCTTCTTTATCTACAAACACTTACTGGCTGAGAATGCCAAGCTGAATGCTAGCTTCGTCTTCTGCACCATGCTATTTGTGTCCTACACCTCCTCACCAGTCGTCAATCGCTTAGCAGCAGAGTTAAGGTTTGCAACATCAGACATTGGCCGCTTGGCAACATCTTCTGCCATGGTCGTTGAGCTCACTTGCTTACTTGTTTTTAATCTGATCATTGCCTTCACAAGACTAACTGCCTTGAGGGACGGCTTCTTCATCCTCCTTGGCTTGGTTCCGATACTTTTTGCGTTCAAGTACTTGGCAGTGTGGTTGAACAAACGAAACAGGAAGCAGAAGTACCTTAGAAACCCAGAAGTGCTTCTCATTTTGTCGATTCTAATCGTGGGTTCGATGCTTATTGAAATGGCCATGTTTAATAGTGTGATAGCTTGTTTTGTTGCTGGCCTGGCTTTCCCCAAGGAAGGCAAGACGGCAAGAACTTTGTTGCACAAGCTTACTTACTCTGTCCACAACTTTGTGCTGCCTGTTTACTTTGGCTATATTGGGTTCCAATTTGATGCGAGCCATTTGAAGAGCTTGACCAACATATTGATTATTGTCATGCTTGTGTTGTTGAGCCTTGGCAGCAAGATTAGTGGCACTCTTGCGGTTTGCCACTTTTTGAAGATCCCTTTAAACGAAGGGGTTTTTCTTGGCTTTGTGTTGAACTTGAAGGGACATGCCGATCTCTTGTTCGTTGGCAGCGCCTCAAAGGCTCTAATTGTAAGGTTCTTAACTTTGATTATATATTTGACAGTCTCGATTTGCACATTCCAACTGAAAAAAAAGAACAAGTAACATTAAATGTATCACATCTTTATGCGAGAAAAATCTTTAACTGAAGCTATATGTACCACATTCATCGGCCACATTTTAGATGACATCTCCTACTACCTTCATTAGAAATGTGGTATAAGTAGTTTCATTTGGCAGACTCGACTCCTTCAAATGAGATCAACAATATGATCAACATACATCTTATACATTGACCTTTTTTTTTTGTGTGGTCAAAACTACAGATCCTAGCTCTAAATTAATTAAGTTTCTTTTTCTTCTTATGCTCTGGTATTGTTTCAGACTTGGAACCCAGCGGCTTACAATCTGTTACTAATGACAATTGTGATTAACACTGTAATATCAGGGCCAGTTGTGGCTTTGTTAATGAGAAGAGAAGAAAAACTCTTCACTCACACACACACCTCCCTAGGCTTTGAGCCCGAAAATCCCGACCAAAACGAGCTCCGCCTCCTCGCCTGCGTCTACGGTCCCCGCCACATCTCTGCCATCCTCTCCGTCATCGCCACCATCCGCGGCACCCAAACAGCATCCATCATGCCCTACATGGCTCACCTTATCGAGCTCAACCAAAAACGACGCACCAACGTGTCGTATCACGAGCTCGAAGCCGAGGAAATGAGCGACGAGGAAGACTACGGCGGCAACGACGTCCTCGAAATCCATGCAGCCGTCGACGCCTTCACTGCCGAGACCCAGATCCTCATCAACCTCAACAAGGCCGTGTCCACGTTGGCGAATTTACATGAGGAGGTGTGTAACGCAGCCGAGGACTTGCGTGCGACGATTATTTTGCTGCCATTTCACAAGCACCAAAGGATCGACGGCAAAATGGAGTCCGGGAAGGACGCTGTACGGACCACGAATCAAAAGATTCTTCGTCACGCCCCGAGCTCTGTCGGGATGATCGTCGAGAAAGGGCTGGCCGGGGCGTTAGGGTTTTCGCAATTGTTTACCGTGGACATTATGCAACATGTTGCGACGCTATTTTTTGGGGGGCCCGATGACCGCGAGGCCATTGCTTGGAGTACAAGGATCGCAAACCATCCAAGGGTTAACTTGACGGTGGTTAGGTTTTTACCGACGGAGTCATCCAACACTCGGAATATGAAGGTGGAGAATGAAATGGGAGGCAATAGTGATATTGAGGTTTACATGGCCTTGTCGAGTTTAGAAACGGGCAATGACATTGACAATGCCTTTCTCAATGACTTCTATAATGGGTACGTACCACCTCTACATTTATCTTGCTTTAAGTGGTAATGTTTGGCACTTTGTTTTTGTTTTATACTCATATATTTCTAAAATATTTGTAAAAATTGTTCATACATACATAACTTTCACATTGTCAATAAGATATTAATAAGGAATATATGCATTTAGAAATAGTCGTTTTTCAGAAGAAACAATATAATCCCGAATAACTGCGAATGATAGCTATTACGCATTGATAGTGCTTTTAGCCACCTCATGGTGTGAATGTTAATGAATAACTATTAATTTTCATAGTTTTTTTTTTTTTTTTTTTTTTTTTTTTTCAAAATAAGCATATGCATATTTTCAATAAAACATTTGTGTCTTAATTGGTTGGGTAGGTATGTAGCGTCTGGTAAAGTTGGGTACGTAGAGAAGCAGGTGAATAATGGAGCAGAAACAGTGGCAGCCCTAAGAGACATTGGAGACTTGTACTCTCTGTTTATAGTAGGGAAGGGTGGTCGAGGACACTCACCATTGACAACCGAGCTCAGTGATTGGGAGGAGTGCCCTGAACTTGGAACAGTAGGAGATCTCTTGGCTTCTTCAGACTTCAACATCAATGGCTCAATCTTGGTCGTCCAACAACATAGAAATTCCAAGAAAGAACTTGTAGATGATTAGCTATATATTGTGAATTTATAATTATTTCATAATGTAATTTAGTGCTTCTTTCAATATTGTACATACTCAAATATATAATAGGGTTTTCGACTTTGGCCGGATCATCCTAGTTTCTGTCTTATCATTTATACATATACAAGAAAAGGCCTCATTAGACCTCTTGGTTTCATCTTTAAAAGGTTAGCCCCAAAAAGCCAGATCATAGAACCCGAATCGGAATCCATTTCGAAATGTGTTTCAGAAAATTGCGTTATGGTGGATGAACATGAAGCTTCTAAGAATGCAGTTCACATGCCCAATGAATGTGACCTCAACTTATAACCACATCATGTAATCTAGGCAGAAGGCCTTAAAAGTGAAACATTCAAAATCCTCAAAATTGCTATTGATTAATAAAAATACTAAAACATAAGAAGCTTTATTAAATAGGGACTAAATAAAACATTCACAATGTATTTAAATTAGAAGAAAAAACATGTACTGCAGTTGTCCATAAAAGTAGGAGATAACTACCTTCAAACTTACCATTGAATATTAATTTTTTTATATAATATAAAACACTCAATAAAAAAAAAAAAAAAAAAAAAAAAAAAAAAAAAAAAAAAAAAAAGGTTGGTGCACGCTTGAGAGTGTACCAAGAAGGGCGTCAACGGGGTCTAGCCTAGTGGAAAAGGTCCTTAACTTGTAGACCAATGGTCTTAAGTTCGAACTCCTATACCACCTTGGTAGTGTGTATGAGAAACCCCCCTCCTTTTGTAATTTAAACTATCACTTGTATTTAAAAAAATTAAGAACTCATTTTAATCAGAATTGATTACCATTAATACTTATGAGTGGTCAAAGAAGACTTGAATAATTAGCAATACATCCTTCTACCAGTCTAAGTAAAATAGTATACAACCTAATACTTGAGTTACACTCTTCTTAGGCCATGATTTCGTTGTATCATATTCATAAGAGATCAACGACACTTAAAAAGACAATCATGGTGCTTTAGATGGAGTGACATATTTGAATTATGACAATTTAGAGTTCTCATTTCACATGTACGTAAAACTCCAAATACTCTTTATTAATCTTGTTCAATGAATTCAATTTACATTGACCATTACCATACTAGCCTTAATGTCTTGCACCTAAAATCAAATGAAGAGTTAAAAGACCATTAGAACAAATAAGTTAGTTATTAAAGAATCAAAATGCAACTCGTTTACAAATTCAGGGAACACATAAGTCGAAAACCCTATCATATAACTAGAAACTTTTAGGAGATGAGTTTGCGAGTGATGCATTAGTTTTTAATACCCTCTTCTGTTTTGCCAGCTTTCTACAAATTGGATTTGTGTTTGTAATTTCTCATGTTCTGACAAACAAGAAAAGAAAATCTTCAAATCTTTAACCGAAAGAAAAAAGGAGAAAAAGAAAAAGAAAACTTGGGATCATTTATGGCACGTGGCAGTGTGTCCAAAAAAGAGACCTAAAATGGTAATAAAACCAAACCCAATAATCACATTTGGGGCCCGAAACAAAGACCCGTCCCACAAACGACGTCACTTCACCTTCGTGTCCACCATAACCACCGATACCCAGCTCACCTAATACTCCTTCTACTGCCAATCTCCAACTCCCAACGAACAGTCCGCGCAAAAATATGGTCTCAATAACCCGCCACGTAAGATCATAGAACCCAAAATCACACACGTCGAGAGATCATTGGACGGATCATAATTAGGAAACTGATCAGATAAGCAGAGGAACAGAACTCTGAGCGGCATCTTCTAGTCGTGCACGTACGTAGCGTGCTCTGGAAACTTTTATCATTCTGCGAGCACCGTCTTTCCCTTGTTCGATTTCTCACTCTGAAAATTTAATTTCCACAGTTCTTGAAAGCTCTCGCGGTTTCTGATAAAAATCGCGGAATGAAATAGCGATTTTCGACTACTCTTCTCGAAGATGTTGGAGGATCAGGTGGCGAACCTCTTGCAGAGGTACCTCGGCAACTACGTGAAGGGGCTCAACAAGGAGGCCCTCAAGATCAGCGTGTGGCAAGGTTCGAGTAGCTTCTTTGCTGCTTCGTCTTCTTCTTTTTGATTCTTTCTTCGTTTCTTGTGAAAAGTGTTTTCTTGATGCTTTTGGTTTTGTGCTTTTGATTGGTTTGATTGTGAATTGAGTTGTTTTCTGTGGATTGAATTTGAAATGGTCCCAAACGGTGCGTTTTGAGTGATGTAAAAAAGGGTTTTGTTTGGGTTTTAGGATAGCTTGGTGCCAATGGCAGGTTTTGAGGGCTTTAGTGAAGATAACTTGATTTGGATGATTTGAATAGTGACACTCTACTAGCTACTTGGGGTTGTTTCACATTGATACACTTATGCAAGTAGCTATGCACATGCTTTAGTCTAACCTTCATTTGATCATGATGATAATTTCTGTGTTTATTTGATCAAATTTAAATGACTAAATGGTTTTCTTTTTGGTTATTATTTTAGTGAAAATCTCTGAAGGGGGACGTTAGAAATGTAGGATTTAGATACCTTTAATGACAAAAAACTTGGCACCAATGCACACATTCACATACATATATACATGCAATTTTTAAACTTTTGGCAGCAATGAAACAAACTTCAATACCAAACTCAACCATCAGAACACCCATTAGTTTTATCAAACATAAGTAACCAGCACTTAACAACCATACTCAGCAATACACACTACAGCATACAGAGCAATAACAACCATACTCAGCAATACAAACACCTAAGTAATAGATGCCTTCTGATCCAACAAAATGGATGAAGGCCTTATGCCCCTAAAAGTATCTGAAACAGATGCCCACAAAGAGGACCGAAAAATCACCCCATCCCCCAATTCCTACACTCCCGTCCCTCTAAAAGCCTTAAAGATTTGTTTGTTACTTTCAATCCAAATGAACCATAAAATAGCCAAAATCTACAGCTCCATAGGACCTTGGTCCCTTTCGCTCCACCGAAACCCTTGCTCTCAGCAAGTTTAACACCCCTCTGGAGCATCCCAAGCCATCTATGCTTCTCTGAACAACTTTTACCTTTGCTTTGAAGCAACGGAACAATGTATCTGAATATGCCTGACATGCTCTCCATCACTTATAAATTGTGGTTTCTTTAGTTTATTGTACATTTTAAGTTGTCATTGGCTTTATAAATACGGTTACTCTAAGGTTAGAGAAATGCTATTGTGCATGTTCAGCAGTATCAAATTCTTATGATAGAGTCCAAGAAGCTAATTATATACTTATTACCTAAAATGCGAATCAGGTGATGTCGAGCTAAAAAATATGCAGTTGAAGCCAGAGGCACTCAATGCATTAAAATTGCCAGTGAAGGTTAAGGCAGGATTTCTTGGATCAGTGAAACTTAAGGTGCGGGGCTAACATTGTTTTTTTATTATTGTGTTGAATTATTTTCTTTTGAATGTTGTTCAGCTTTGTATTGGACGAAATGCTGAGAAATTTGACTTCATTTCCATTTCTTGGAGTAATATTTTTAGTTGTTCCAAAAGTGGTATTTGATGTTTAGTTGATATAGATTATGCATCTTAACTTTGACATGAACATATAATATGATAATTGCAGTTTTCACCTAGTATGTACTTTTTTATTACTAGACATTTTCATTTTCTAATTTACTGGGTATATTTTGTTTGTGTGGAATATTGTTATAATATTTGGTTTTGAGAAGTTTTCTTATGATATTTGTTATTAACTGTATTTCTCCAATGAGGTTATTATTATTTTTGAATGAAGGTTCCATGGAGCAGGCTTGGCCAGGATCCAGTTTTAGTTTCTTTGGATCGTATTTTTCTATTAGCTGAACCCGAAACCCAAGTTGAAGGATTTAGTGAGGATGCTGTGCAGGAAGCTAAGAAGAATCGAGTGCGGGTAAGACACAGTAATCTATGTGGTGGAATTCATGTGTTCTTTGCCACTACATATTTGAGTGATCATATGTGTTTTCTGCCTTGTAAATAGGAAATGGAAATGAAGCTGTTGGAGAGGACGCAGCAACTAAAGTCAGAAATGGTAGGGTTTAGCATAATCCAAGTCTGCTTGTATTTTAGAGCATGGCTTTACCTTAATTTTAGGCTCCCTTGCTCCAGCATATGGGTTTAAAATCTGATCTTTGGTTGATTATTTTAATGCTTTATTTCTTCTTCTGGAATTCATATCTTGCTTATCTATTATGATATCATTTTACTATTTGTAATTTGTTTCTCTTTGAAGAATACATCATGGTTGGGATCCCTGATCAGCACAATAATTGGAAATTTGAAACTTTCAATTTCAAATATTCACATCAGATATGAGGATCTTGAGAGGTAGAGAAAAACCTGTTTGAGTGTTTTATTCTTTTTAGTTAGTCTGTTTTCAGTCAACTATGTCTTGGGTAGCAATCCTAATTATGTCTTGGGTTTATGCTTTATGTCTTCTATGGTTTAGCAATCCTGGCCATCCGTTTGCAGCAGGCATAACCTTGGAAAGACTTTCAGCTATGACAGTTGATGAAAATGGAAAGGAAACCTTTGTCACTGGGGGTGCTCTAGACCGTATTCAGAAGGTTCCTTGTTATCATACTATGTGAAATTCTAATTTCCACAGCAGTATTCAGATATTTTTTTTGTGCATGTTTAAGATGCTATACTTTTCATAAATGGAAAATGAGAGGGTGCATCAGAGGACAAGGTGTCCACTGACCTCCAGCTCCTAACTAACAAAATCTATGGACAACAGAACCAACAAAGAAGATACAACTAAACAACAAATACAGCGAGAACAAACTCTAAGACACTACAGCTATCCAATAAAAAAAAACAACAGGAAAAGAGTTGTCCCTATACTCTATAGATACTGTAGCCCAGAAAGATGCCAAAAATTGAACCCTCCAACAAATGATCCATGTCCTCAGCATCAAGTATCCTTATATATCTCTCCACCAAACTACCAAAAATATAAAATATAAATGTATAGACTAATAAGTTCAATAATGGATACTTCCAGGTTGATGTTACGGGAAGTCACTGTTTGATTATTGCATGTCATTTGATTTTTTCAAATTGACTTCGTATATCCCTGAGATTCTTTCAAATACTGATTAAAGCCGTCTATTTAAGAAATTTTTTTAGAACAAGTAAGCATTTCTTGTACTTGTGAATAACTTGGCTTCATCGATATCTTGATCCCTTCTGTCTTTCTGCTTATGCTATAATCTGTCGTTTTCAGTCCGTTCAACTTGATCGGCTTGCACTTTATCTGGATTCTGATATTTCTCCATGGCATGTTAACAAGCCATGGGAGGATTTGCTTCCATCAGAGTGGGTCCAGGTATATGCCCAATCCTCTTTTAGCAATAGAGGCCATGTACCTGCATGCACATACATGCGTATATTTACATATTACCCTTTTGGCACTTCAGGTTTTTAGATTTGGCACTAAATATGGTAAACCAGCAGATGGATTAATAAAAAAGCACACTTACATACTGGAACCTGTGTCTGGAAATGCCAAGTACTCAAAACTACAGCCAAATGAATTTGCTGACAGTGGCCAGCCTTTACACAAAGCAGCAGTTAATTTGGATGATGTGACTCTCTGTTTGCCAAAGGTTCATTTTCATTTTCATTTTCTATTCCTTCTGATTTAGTGCTGGGAGGTAATGTGATTTGTTTTAAAAGCAATTGAGTACTATTTGTTTGCAGGATGGATACAGGGATGCACTAAAGTTAGCTGATAATTTTGCTGCATTTAATCAGCGCTTGAAGTATGCTCATTATCGCCCACATGTCTCTGTGAAATCTGATCCTAGGTCTTGGTGGAAGTATGCTTGTAGAGTCGTTTCTGACCAAATGAAGAAGGCAAGGTCGGGATCAATGAATTTCTTTTAATTCTCCTGCCTTATGAATTGTTGTGTTTCTGATGGACTTTGTGGCCATATTGTTTGGGATTTTTTTTATCTTATCTATATATTGTTTTTTCCTGTAAAAAAAGAGGAAAATTCTCCTCCCTGATGAGATTTTATGTTGTGAGCTTTAATCCCAAATAGTGAAATACTTTTTTAACAGTAAAGAAAAGGGCTTCCTATCTTAATCAGTTAACTTAGTTTAGTTTTATTAATATTAATACATTTTAATTTTTGCAAATTTTGTTAAAAAATGAAAAAGCAGTGAACTTCGTTTATGCTCTGCAAACTGAATTTAGATGCATATTTTTTTTATATTTGCTTAAAGCATTATCTTTGTGGCAGTGGGAGATTGTCATGGGATCAAGTTCTGAAGTACGCAAGCTTACGTAAAAGATATATCTCGCTATATGCTTCACTGCTTAAATCTGATCCTAGTCGGGCAGTAGTTGATGACAACCAAGACATCGAGGAGCTAGATCGGGGACTTGATATTGAACTCATACTACAGTGGAGGTACTCTTTTTTGTTGTAAATGTATTTAGTTTCTGATAGTTATTAATTGTATGAAGGGTTATTCGTTTTATTAGTCCCTGAACTTTGACCCGATTTGCATTTGAGTCCCCCAATTTCCAAAATCGTTCCCGTGGTCCTTTAACTTTAGTTTCGTTAGGATAAATGGTCATGCCGTCAATTTTGTTAATTTTTTCTGTTAAATGCAGGGGTAATATGGTATTTTTGTATTATTTTTAATTTCCAATTTCTGAACATTACTTTCACCCAAAAAATAACAAATAAAAATCTTATTCCTATCCTCAGTCAAACTAAAAATTTAAAATTAGTTCTTAATATCTAACTAAAAAAAAAAAAAAAAAAAAAAGAAAATCATAATAAAAAAATGAAAATTTTCACCACTTGCCCCTTCTTTTTCCTCTTCTTTCTTGGCAACCTTGTCCCCAACCCCACCATCCAACCTCCAGCCAAAGTCGAGAGCTTGTGAACCCAGAAACTCAAATCCCCATCAACTCTACCAAACCCAGTGCCCCATTTTCAAAATGCAAGTAAAAAAACCCATTTTCATAAACCCCATTTCACCAAAAAGCAATCACATTTCCTCCAAAACCCCAAATTTTCATTCCAGAAATACCAAAACCAAAGACCCAAAAACACATAAGAAAAACAAGAAACCCAGAAGAGGAATTAGTGTCCGTACAATAATTGGACCCCTTAAGCGAGTAAAGAACAAAGAGGCACAGCAACAAGTGTCTGCAAAATAAAAATGCAGAGCCACGAAAGGAACATTTCACAGCAAGACGACATCATACGATAAAAATGTATCTCTTTTTTTACAGATCTGCACGCAATAAGCAGAGAAAAGCAAACTGAATCTGAAGATCTTCCTCTGCCATTCTTCAGAGGATTCTAAAAGCCCTTTCTTTTTCTACTGGCTCTTAGTCTATTCTCTGCAAAAGACGCGTTGGCTTGTCAGTGACAGTGCCGTGTGCTTAGGATAAGCAGAGGACGACAACAGTGCATAGGAAAGTTGGGTTTTGGGATGATTTCTGGGTGGAGGGTGGGGTGGTGGGGTGGGTTTGGGGGTTGGAGGGTGGTGGCTGTCGGATGGGTTTGGCAGTTGGAGGGTGGTGGTCATGAGAGAAAGTGGGGAGAAGAAATCGGTGAGGGGGAGAAGAAATCGTGAGGGAGAGAGGGAGAGAGGGGGAGAGGGGGAGAGAGAGAGATTTGAATTTATTTTCTTATTTATTTTTTGTTTTTAATATTTTATTCATATTTTAATCAATTTTAAATTAAAAAAATATAAAAATACCATTTTATCCCTGCATTTAACAGAAAAGTTAAGAGCTCGTTCGTTATCATTTTCTAACCCCGTTTTCTGTTTTCCGAGAATAAAAACAACCAAAAATGCATTCGGTGCAATTAAGTTAGAAAACACGGAAAACGAAGAATTGAAAACGATCTCAACTTTCTTCATAAAACGAGAAAACAACTTTTAGACGTTTTCATCATTTTCAGAGGGAAGTGAAAACAGGGGAAATAGTTTCGGCTAGAACAAGACATCATCGTGCTCTATTCCATTCTCACCTTTCTCAAATCCTAGACCCAAAAATTAAACACCCCACTGTCTCTTCCTTTCTCTCTTTGCCTTCTTTTGTGAGACCTACTCCGACTTCAAGGCCACAGCCTTCACCACAATCAGATCCTTGGCTTGAATCAAACTCGTCAATGCCATAGCCTCCGCTACAGCCTCCCTCCACCATCACCACCCAATCACTCGAACCGTAACAGCCACCAGCGACCCAATTGAACAAATCGAGAGTGATAGTTATTGTGGTGGTTTGAATTATGTGTTTCAGTGTGATTTTGTTGCTGTTTTCACATGGGTTATATAAACCCAAGCAACACCAGCACTCATGGGAGGAGAGGATGTATGAAGAGATATGAGAGAGTGAGAGTGAAAAAAGAGGAGAGTTGGGTGGTGGGGAGTCTCTGAGTTGGAAAAGTCGAGAAGGAGGAAGGAAAAGTGTGCTAACAATAGTTTCAGATAATTTTAGGTTTTTTTTGTTATAATCAACATTAAAAAATATTAATGAAAAAATAAAAGTTGAAAAGAAATGACACTTCATTGTTTATTTTATTCTCATATCCTACTAGAAGAAGTTCTTTACTCAATAATCTGCATTTATTTTGGGGGAAAAAATTTTGTATGTATAAAAAACTATTCTTAGATGCATACTTGTTCAGTTTATCAATTAACCAACAAAATTCAACTTTTAAATTTATCATTTTCACTTATTATTAAAGATAATTCTAGGTTTTTCTAACATTAGAATTTTATTATTTTGTAATTATTCTTTTTAGAACATACATTATCAAAAATATACTTGAAAAATAGTTCACATATTATTATTCTCAAATTGTACTACCAGACACGTTTTCACTGTTTTTATTTTCTGAATATGTTTTCTAATTAATCTACCAGACGCATTCTTGAATCCTGAAAATGCAAATTTGTTTTCTCGTTTTCATTCTTTGAAAATATTTTCTAAAAACATTCTCTGAAAACGTTACCAGACGGGCCCTAACAAATTTGACGGCAGGACCATTTTTCCTAACAAAACTGAAGTTGAAGGACCACGGGAACAATTTTGGAAATTGAGGGACTCAAATGCAAATCGGATCTAAGTTAAGGGACTAATAAAACGAATAACCCATTGTATGAAATTGGCCATTCTCTCTACCTGTTGAAACTGGTGTGTTTCTATGCATTTTTAGCTGCATAGTACATTTATTGTGTAGATAGACCATTCCTTGAAATGATTTTTGCCTTGAAGTATTTTGTAGAATTGTGGTCTCATTCATGCAGGATGTTGGCTCACAAGTTTGTAGAGCAGTCATTAGAGTCAGACCTTGACTTGAGGAAACAGAAAGCAAAGAAATCTTGGTGGTCAATGGGATGGTAATAGTTTTACTGTCAAATTTGAAACTAGGTCTCCCGACACCCTAGGTATTTGTATATTCTGATGTTTGCTTGTTTCCTAATTCTATCTACTGTTCCAGGGGCAGTCAGTCTCAGATAGATGAGAGTGAGCCATTTAGTTTCAGCGAGGAAGACTGGAAGCAGTTAAATAACATCATTGGGTATAAGGAAAGTGATGATAGGCTGTCGGCTGTAATTAATGACAGGGCGGATGCTCTTCAGACTTCCTTGAGCATTTGTATGAAACATAATGCTACTAAGCTTATTGATGAGTCCCAGGAGTGTCTTGCTGAATTATCATGTGAAGGCCTGGATTGCTTTATAAAGCTTTATCCAGAGACAAAAGTTTTCAACATAAAATTGGGATCATATAAGTTATCAACACCGAATGGTCTCCTTGCTGAGGTAGGCCTTTCTCCTGCTGTGTGTTGTATTTTTTAAAATGTTTTCTCTTCAATATTTATGGATTAATTTCCCTATTTCATCCATAAATCATCTATTTACTTCCCTGCAGAGTGCAAGTGCGCATGATTCTTTAGTTGGCACATTCTGTTTTAAGCCTTTTGATGCAAATGTGGACTGGAGCTTGGCTGCTAAAGCTTCTCCTTGTTATGTGACTGTATGTTTTTGCTACGCCAAAGTTATTACTTCCTCCAAGGTGTACGTATTTACTGATTTGATCTCTCTGGCAGTATCTAAAGGACGTAATCGGTCAAATTATAAAATTCTTCCGAAGTAATACAGCTGTTAGTCAGACGATAGCATTGGAAACCGCAGCTGCAGTGCAGGTTCTTTGAAATATGCTTAAATAGTTCTTTTGACTGCTTCCCAAGCTTGCTGGTGTTGAACATGTTAACCAAGATGTTTCAATCATTTTGTCTGTTTGTGTTTTTCTTCTAATTTTAAATATTGTTGCTTGGACTTCTGAAATTAATTGGAAACTTCAATTATTTGATTGGTATGTAAGTCATAGGGGCAATATTGGGAGATTTTTTTGGAGCAAAAAGTAGAAAAATTTAGGAACAAATATTCAAAGAAACATGCATCCATTGGATATGTTCTTTACGGAGTTTATATGCTAAGGCACAACACTGAGTTACTTGTGACTTTCCTTCTGTGCCTATGTCATGATGCAAGATCAGGAAAATGTAGAGAATATTGTCAGGATGCTAAATGAAGTACATCAGCTTGCATGCTGATTTTTCTAAAGATGCCCAAGATGGAATAATTTAGGAAGAATTCAATGAAAGATGATCTAAGAAGCATGGATACGCCAATTTAGTGGCGTATCCCGTATCGGATACTTGTTTGGATACGATACGCTTCGGATACGGTCCGATACGCATTGGATACGTATCGCAGTCAACGGATACGTCAGTTGACTAACGGATACGAGTATCAGACATTCCAGACACGAGTATCTGACTTTTTGGATATGAACCTCCGGGCGAAGTTTGCCGTTGAGGGGCCGTTGAGGAGCCCCTGGGTGCTGCGTGTGAAGAGGGAGGGAGGGAGGGAGGGAGGGGGAAGAAGAAGAAGAAGATGTCAGACTGGATGGAGGTAGAGAGGGAGGGAGAGAGAGAGAAGAAGATGTCAGACTGCAGGGGGAGAGAGACAGAGAGACAGAGAGGGAGAGAAGAAGAAGATGTCAGACTGATCTCAAGTGACGACGTCGTTTGCTAAAACAGGATTTGTAATATATATATATATATATATTCACAGATCTGTTTATGGGTTTGGGTCTTAAACAATAGTATTAAAATGGGTTTTGGGTAATGATATATTTGGGTGAAAAAAGCTATAGATGCCTAAAAATATAAAGAATCAGAAAAGAAAGCCCAAAATGCTACACTATATTTATAATTTATAATTTATAATCTATTTAAAATATATTTTAGGTTATATATATTTATTAATATATATTTTTAATAACCGTATCCATGACGTATCGTATCCTAGTTTTTGAAAATTTACCGTATCCCCGTGTCGTGTCGTATCGTATCACCGTATCCGTATCCGTGTCCGTGCTTCTTAGAAGATGATGATTATATTGTTTTACAACTCTCTTCGCAGCATATGCATGATTTTACCATGGCCTGATTAGAGCTGTGGGCAAGTATGGTGATCAAATTTTCTGTTAATGATGGTATACAAACTGTCTTTTTCAATATATACCAGATGACAATCAATGGAGTCAAGCGCACAGCTCAGCAACAAGTGAACAGAGCATTGAAAGACCATTCCAGGTTCTTATTTCATTTCTTTCTGGAGTACCTTGAGCCCCTTCCCTAAAATTATATTGATCCCGTGAATGAGAGGAAAAATTGACCATAACATGCTAATGGTAGAATTACAAAAGGGTGAGGGAAGTGCTGATTATATATGGACAAATACAATAGCGGGATCCTTTTTTAAGTGGACATACATATGTTTGTATATATATAAACATAATATATGTTTCACATTGTTATGTCCCATGGGCCAGGTTGTTTGGAGTGCCGTGGGTTTGGTTGGCCTCAAATTGCTATTTCTTTTGGGTGGACAATTATTTCTGTATCTTTTCTTAATAAAAGTTTGTGATGCTTAGCTTCTTTGTATTTATTCTGTTAATGTTTTGTTATCATTTGTTAGGTTTTTGCTGGACTTGGATATTGCGGCTCCGAAGATTACAATTCCTACTGATTTTTGTCCCGACAACACACATCCAACAAAACTCATGCTTGACTTGGGAAATTTGGTTATTGGAACCAAGGTAACAACAATATTAATTCTTAATTATCTAATTATGAGTTTGTTTCCTACAGACATTTATGTTGAGCTTGAAAGTGCATGCAGGATGACTATGGAGGTGGATCCCCGGAGGAGCTGGATCTGTATCTGCAGTTTAATTTGGTTTTAAGAGATGTATCTGCTTTTCTGGTTGATGGTGACTACTGTTGGAGCCAATCTCCTTCAAACAATTCTGCTGGTTGTGCCAAATTAAATGGTGTTAGTTTGTTGCCTTTATTCGATAAATGTGGGGTAACTGTAAAGCTTCAACAGGTAAAATACTGTGACCTGTTTAGCTTAAATACGAAGCTTATTTTCACGTGGCATTTGCGAAGATTAAGGTTTTGCATGTTGTTTTGTTATTACATCCAGATTAGATTAGAGAGCCCATCCTACCCTTCAACAAGAGTCGCTGTACGGCTACCATCATTAGGGTTTCACTTCTCTCCAGCTCGGTATCATCGATTGATGCAAATTGTTAAGATTTTTGAAGAGGATAGTGAGGACTTGGATCTCCTTTGCGCTTGGAATGAGCCTGACTTCGAGGGGTGGTTGTCTCTTCTTGCTTGGAAGGTTGCAATCTATTTATCTCTCCCCACCCTCTTGTCTCCCATTTGCCCCCTAAACAAAAGAACACATCCCAAAAGTAGTTCATGTCTTTATTATAGTGCTATGTTTGAGCATCTACTCATTCCTATAAACAGAATTTATTCATTTCTTTATTTTAATGTGATGATAGGGTCTTGGGAATAGGGAAGCGGTGTGGCAGCGGCGCTACCTATGCTTAGTTGGGCCTTACCTTTATGTACTTGAGAACCCTAGCTCTAAATCGTACAGACAGTGTATCAGGTTCGGATGCCAACTTTTCCAAATTGAGTTGTGATCGACATGATAGTATCTACTTAATATGTAGATATATATCCAAAAAGTATGATTCAGGAAAAAAAAACAAAGATGGAGATATTTGCCATTGTTGCAAAAGTTTTAATTGAAATCTTGTGGATTGATTTATCTGTCTATTTGTTAAAAAAATGCATATATTCTTTGGTTTTTCTTCCATTCCTCAAGTTGAATTGATTAAGTAGCCTTTTATACAGACTACTTGTGTTACGCAAGTACCACTGACTTGGTTCATTTCACTGAACCACATCCACACCTTTGTATATTCCAATAACTCCATCTGTTTCTAGATATGAATTCACTGCTATTTATAATGTTCTAGAAAATTCTAAAATAGTTTCTCAACATTTCATAACTGCTAAAAATTATATATGCAACACTTCATATAACTTAATAAGTATATATTAAGTGGAATGTTGTATACTAGAATTGTATTAACTCTAACTAATGCTTGCAATATGCTTATGGCAGCTTAAGTGGAAAACACATATATCAAGTTCCCCCAGAGTCTGTTGGTGGTGCTGATCTTGTGTTGGTTGTCTGTGATGCTGCACGAGGAAATAGCAAGGTTGTAACTCCATCTTTATAGTTAGAAAGAACACTTATTTGTATATCCCCCTGTATAATGGTTTGTTGAGTATTACTTAGTTTTAGTTATTTCTTTTATATAGGTTGTGGAGGATGCAAATGCACTAATAGTGCAATGTGATTCTGATGATTCGAAGAAAATTTGGCAAAGCCGGTTGAAGGGGGCTGTCTATCGTGCATCGGTAATCCTTGTTTAGTTTGTGGTAGACATATCCAGGCTTGATATGACAGCACTTTTAACTTTTAAGGACATGCATAGGCCTCTTAAGTAGTTTATATGCAGGGTTCTGCTCCTGTAACTAGTCTATCTGAAGCTTCATCTGAGTCCGAGGATTCTATAGTGGAGCTTAATGACAAAGATGATGTGGTTGATTTATCGAAAATGGAGAGAGTATTTATTACTGGTGTTCTTGATGAACTAAAGGTCTGCTTCAGTTATAGTTACCAGGTAAGCCTAAACTATATACTTGACAAAAAGTTGCCTTGTAAGGGAAGATCTGACAGAGCTGTTTTTCTCTAATCTCTAGCACGACCAGAATTTTATGAAAGTGCTCCTAACTGAAGAAAGGCGTTTATTTGAATTTCGAGCAATAGGTGGCCAGGTGATACATTAATCGAAATAGGCATTGGTGTGTTTTGATGTTTTTAAATGTTTTTGTTTTTCCGACTCCAGAGAGTTATGTTTTTGGACACAGGTTGAGGTATCAGTTAGATCAAGTGACATGTTCGTTGGAACTGTTTTAAAATCTTTGGAGATTGAAGACTTAGTTTCTGGCAATAGCATGTCTCAGCCTTGCTATCTGGCAAGATCGTTCATCCGTAATGCAGAAACACGTTTAACCTTGGTGCCACAGAGAATCAGAGTTTTGATGGCAGTGAACTAACCCCGACTGAAGGAGATGAATTCTACGAGGCACCAGAAAATTTGGTTGACTCTGAAAGCTTATTGTTGAAATCCCCTCGTTTTACTCGTATTCCTGGTCTACTCCCGGGTAATGGACGTGAAGAAAGTGAGGAGAACATTGAACTCAATGGTTCATTGGACAGTTTTGTGAAAGCTCAAATAGTTAGATATGACCAAGGCTCTCCTCTATACCATAATATAGACATGCAGGTGAGTATTATTCTGTGTTAAATTTGGGGGCTTGATCCATTATGTTGTTGCTTGACTTGTTATTCTTAAAATGGTTGTTTTAGGTCTCTGTCACCCTGACTACCCTATCATTTTTCTGTCGGCGACCAACAATTCTTGCCATCATGGAATTTGTTAATTCTATTAACATTGAGGATGAAAGCTGTGAATCTTTCAGTGACAGTTCTTCAGCAGCTATTGTGAAACAGGAACTCTCCAGAGATGATGCAGTTGGTAGTCCACGATCAGTGACAATCAATGAGCCTTCAATTAAAGGATTGCTGGGAAAGGGAAAGTCCAGAGTGGTTTTTAATATAACATTAAATATGGCTCGCGCTCAGATTATATTAATGAATGAAGATGAAACTAAACTTGCTACTTTGTCACAAGATAATTTGGTTACCGATATTAAGGTTTTCTCAACTTTGTCCATCCTTATTCATCCTCTAGAATTTGTGTTTTTATTAAACTCACCTGTTTCAGGTTCATAAACCATATTGTTTTTCAGGTGTTCCCATCCTCTTTTAGCATTAAGGCAGCCCTTGGAAATCTTAAAATAAGTGATGAGAGTCTTCCTAGCAGCCATATGTACTTCTGGGCATGTGATATGAGAAATCCAGGCGGCAGTTCATTTGTTGAGGTAACACTTGGCAATTTAGAGTCTTTCTGAAAAAGTGTATCTCTATTCATCAAGAATTGCCCATTATATGGACAGAATACAAGTTAATTAGGAAAGAACACAGGCTGATCTTCAGCCCCTAAAATCAGCTAACCTACCATGTATACATTTATCTAATTATAGCCTACAGCTAGTATATCCTAATTAAGGAAAGAATCTGCTGGTATTTAAATCTGTAAATCTGTATAATCGGCTGTCAATATGCTGGCATTAATCATGTAGTTTTTTCCTTTGACAACACTATGTTCCTACCAATAAGAATTACCAATAAGAACAACGTATGATCATTTAACAAAAAGACTGATCACACAAGAACAACTAATTAAGATTCCGTCTTGAGCTTGTGTTCCTAAAGTTCTGATGATGATGGAAATTTAAGTTCGTTCATGATTTTTCTTTCTTTTTATCACTCCAGAGGCTTTGTTTTTTGTTGAAGATTTTAAGACATGTTCCTCAGTAACTTCTGTGCTTTCTTTGATGGTTATTGAGTAGGTCAAGGGACCAAATAATGTTTAATTCTCTATGTGTGCCAAGGGACATAGTGAGGTTTTGGGAGGAATTGGCTGGGTTGTCTGGGTTGTGTGGCTTGATGGTGCATGAGTGGGGATTTTCATATGGTGAGATTTGTCATAGAGAAATGTAATGCAGGAAGGGTGACAAGGAGCACGTGTTATGATTTCTTAAGGGAAACAAACTTGTGTGATTCCGAGTTACACAATGCAGTCTTCACTCTTCACTAGGTAAAATATGAGAGAAAATGTGATTCCAAAAGACTTGACAGATTTTTTCATACTGCAGAGTGGGAAGAGGGATTTCCTAATGTGAGAGAGATGGCCCGTAGTGGGGTTGTTTCAGATCGTTGTCCTATATTATTTGATTCTAATAAGTTGAAGTGGAGGCCAGGTCCTTTTAGATTTGAGAACATGTGGTTGGAACTGCTTCAAGAAGTGTTGGGAAAGTAGGGAGTTTAAATGGTTGCTAGGGTTAAGTTTTAGGTGATGTAAGAAAGGAAAAGACGGAAGTGCAGGAAAAATAATTAAAGAGCTCCATTTGTTGGAGTAAGGGGACAGATTGCTGGAAGAGTGCCGAACGGAGAGGGCAAGCTAAGACTAAAATTGTGGGAGCTTGTTTTCAAGGAGATTTGTGGAGGCGAAAAAGTGGCTTGGGCAAAAGAGGGTGATGGCAGTACAAACATGTTGATAAAAGGGTAAATAGGAGGAAAAAAAGAAATTTGATCAAAAGCTTGGAATTGAGTGATGGGCCATTCACTGATGACAAGGGAAGGATTGAGAAAGAAGTAATTAATTTTCGTAAGAGATTTCTATGGAAGGAAGGGGGGGAAAGGAAAGGGCGATGGTCGTAGGAATTAACAACTTTATTTGACTCCTTCATATTCCACACTGTTGCATCATGTTGGCAATAACATTTATATTACTGTTTATGGCTTGATAGATAAATTTGGAGAGACATTTAGTCAATACATTTAGAGTAAATGTATAAAGAGACTATAGGGTTCCACATTATTGCGACAGTTAATCTACTTTCTTCTGTTCTGCATTGTTTTTTTTTCCTTTTTCTTTCTACTGTTTTACTATTCTCCTATTTCATTTGCTTTTATTGGTATTAGGGATAGTTTTACAAATAACGGTCATTATGATGCAGTTGGTTTTTACTTCATTCAGCGTTGATGACGAAGACTACGAAGGCTATGAGTATAGCCTTTATGGGCAGCTTTCAGAAGTACGCATTGTTTATTTGAATCGATTTATCCAGGAGGTAATTTACATTTAATTCTTTTGTTCATTATGCACGCTGGTTTGTTTCCACTTCCCTTATGTCTGTAAAATCATTTGTAGGTGGCTAGTTACTTCGTGGGTCTTGTTCCCAACAATTCAAAGGGTGTCGTCAAGGTAAAAGATCAAGTAACAAATTCAGAAAAGATGTTTACAACTAGTGACTTCGAAGGATCACCTGCCCTAAAGTTGGATGTCTCTCTTAGGAAGCCTATTATTTTGATGCCTCGGAGAACTGACAGTCTTGAGTAAGTTTGTACTGGAATCCAGGCTCTAATGGATCTTAGTTTTAGACTATTGGCATCTTTGTCTGTGGTCGCACTTGTATAATTCATCTCTCAATTTGATAAACCTAATTGCATTCTCTAATTATTTGAATTTTTCTATTTCAGCTACTTGAAGCTTGATATTGTTCATATTACTGTCCGGAACACTTTTAAATGGTTTGGTGGAAGTAGAAGTGAAATTAATGCTGTTCATATGGAAGTATTAACAGTTCAGGTGATTGAATACATTTGATTTTTTTTCTTTTACCAACAAAAACCCATGCTGAAATTTTTATTTAGTTGGAATAGGATACGGTGGTTCCAATACAGATGGATTTGAAAGGCTTTGTCATGTGGAGTGCTTGGCGGCGGAATTAATATTTATTTTTTGGTTTGGTTTGCATCTATTAATTTGTAATTAACTGTCTCTGCATGTTGATTAATATTATGATGGGGGCTGTAGGTTGAGGACATCAATCTAAATGTTGGCACTAAAGGTGAGTTAGGTGAAAGCATAATTCAAGATGTGAATGGAGTTTCGGTTGTGATTCAAAGGTCACTTCGAGACTTGTTGCATCAAATACCAAGTATTGAGGTTATAATCAAGGTAATGGATTACATGTTCATTGACCGTTTTGTGAAGCTAACTTCGTTTTTAATTTTAATTTTGGGAAAACTGCAAACATAAGTGAAGTCACATTTTAAATGTTTTTAGAATTCGTGCTTTTCAGATGGAGAAATTGAAAGCAGCTTTGTCAAACAGGGAATATCAGATTATCACGGATTGTGCACAGTCTAATATTTCTGAAACTCCACATATTGTACCCACATTGAACCATTATTCTATGACATCTTCAGTTGATGTTGAAGAAGACATCACTCCTCAGGAACCAGATGGTATTGAATCCCAAAGTGCAAGTGGGGAAGCCTGGGTTACGATGAAAGTCTCTGTTGTTATCGATTTGGTTGAATTGTGCTTACATGCTGGTGTAGCAAGAGATGCATCTCTGGCCACTGTGCAGGTAGTTTCTCAATTTGGTGGATTTCTGAACTGTTGGGAATTTATTACAGTATTTGTATATTCTCTCTTTAGAAGATTGAACTCATTGAGGTGGCATTGGTTTTATGCATCACAAGAGTTTTTCTTGCTTTACTAAATTTGTATCTTGTTTTGCTATACTTTCTCTCTTCTGAACCCCGAGTTTTTGCTTTTTATTTATTTATTTAATAAATAAATAATTTGTTTGCCTTTTTCGTTTGGGAATGCTATATATTTTGGTTCTATATGTCATGTAAATATCATTTAGTGATCCCAAAATCATTTTCAAATCCTTGCATCAATTTTTATGTATTCTCCAGTCAAATTGTCTGGTATTGTGTCTAATTTACGATTTACACCGTACTTGAACATCATTGCAAAACTGGATTTCATTTTCTGTTCGCAAAAGTGATAATTTTATTAATAAAGAAGAAAAGTACAGTCAAATTGGACCAGCGGTCTAGAAGAGATACTACCGTCAGTCAACAAAAAAGGGACCCAAAAACATGTGTAAATAATCAACTGTTGACAGGGTTAAACTCTGTTGATTTCTGCATAATGCATTAGAAATAATTGTATTATTTTAAGAAGATATATTGCGGTTTTGTTAAAATTTGTATCAGGTGTGTTTATGTGTGTAGGATGTGTTAGAACATTTACTATGGTGGATGCTCGCATTTTGAGAAAAGAATACATATGATTACATACATATATAATATATTTGTTCTTGGTTTATTATGCTACCACTCTGTTGTACAGATTAGCGGTGCATGGTTGCTGTACAAGTCAAATACACTAGGAGAAGGCTTCCTCTCAGCAACACTAAAGGGTTTCACTGTGTTTGATGATCGTGAGGGTACTGAACCAGAGTTTAGGTTGGCAATAGGAAAGCCTGAGTATGTTGGTTCATATCCTCCAGATTTTGTTGCTCATGATGACCATCACATCTCCGGTGCAAATGTTACAAAAGAGAATGATGTCAAATTAATTCCTACAATGCTCATTCTTGATGCAAAATTTTGTCAGCTGTCAACCGTTGTTTCTTTGTGCATCCAAAGGCCACAACTGCTTGTTGCACTTGATTTCCTGCTGGGTGTTGTTGAGTTTTTCGTTCCTACCATCGGCAATGTGCAGTCAAATGAAGAACTACAGAACTCTGTCCTTGGAATTGATGCAGTAGTTTTGGACCAATCAACTTACAAGCAACCCTCTACTGAATTCTCTCTTTCTCCTCTAAGACCGTTAATAGTTGATGATGAAAGGCATGATCATTTTGTTTATGATGGCAATGCTGGGACACTGTATTTGAAAGACCGGCAGGGATTTAATCTCTCAGGGCCTAGTACAGAGGCCATAATATATGTAGGAGATGGGAAAAAATTGCAATTCAAAAATGTTGTTATCATGGTATTATTCTTTACGATGTCTTTTTTTTCTAGATTACTGGCATACTTGTACTTCAAAAGCACTTCTATCATATTTAAACTTCTAATGTAAGTTGTGTTGGTGTAGAATGGACTGTACTTAGATTCATGCATTTCTATGGGAACCAACAGTAGCTATTCAGTTCTGAAGGAAGATCAGGTCTATTTCGTGGGAGGGAATGAAGTTCCTAATTTGAATTCCCCAACAGAAAGTGTCAATAATGTGCCATCTCAAAGTATTGCCGTCGACAGGTCGACAGAGTTTATTATTGAGTTGCAGGTTCAATATTGCTTCATTTAATTTCTTTTTCCTAATTTGGGGTCATACTCATTCTTTGGATCTGCAACTGTCTTTTGTAACTAAATATTTCATTTCAGTTGGTTGGCCCAGAGCTGACATTCTATAATACGTCTGAAGATGTTGGGGAATCCCTTGTGCTCTCCAACCAACTTTTACATGCACAGTTGGATGGATTCTGCAGGTAAATTATTTTATTGTTATGTTGATTATAATGTTTAGACTCAATAGTATGATTTGTCCACAAAGTCTATGGATGTTATGTTATTTCTGAACTCTACACTTGTTCCCGTAGTTAGAAATATTGTTGGAAATAATTAGAATAGGATCTTCTTTCATTTCCCGAAAGGGTCTCCAAGGACTCCCTTTTTGTTTTCCTTTCGGATTTTGTCTCTTATTTAAGGGTTCTTCCATTGCATTTTGGATTTGACTAAATGACACGCAATATTGAGTTCAAGTCCTTGTTAAACCCAAAATGATTAGGACACATTCATACTCCCTCTGTTTCAATGTCCATGGTATTTGTCATACCCAAAAGTCTTAATTTGGTTTCTTGATTCCTACCAATATCTGCGATATATCTATATTTCCATTGAAATTTCCCATTTTATTATTTTTATTTTGTGGATTCTCACCAGACATAAATGGATTTGATATGGCTTTAGTTGAGAGCAATCTCGCTGGATAATGCTCTTTGGTTCCTTATACATTGCTTCCATAGGTTTCTAGGAGTTCAAGTGAAAGAAAAATCATATTTATTGCCTTGGCCATGTTCGTTTTAGATTCCATGTTATGAATGCTTGAACTTAAAGAAATGTAATGGAAAAGTGACATTCTATGTGCTCTTGTTGTCTCTAGGCTTGTTTTGAAGGGTGATACCATTGAGATGAATGCAAATGTTCTTGGTTTAACAATGGAGAGTAATGGATTCACGATTCTGGAGCCTTTTGACACCTCTGTAAAATATTCCAATGCTTCTGGAAAGACCAATATTCATCTAAGTGTTTCAGATGTATTTATGAATTTCTCATTCAGCATCCTGAGACTGTTTTTAGCAGTTGAAGATGATATCTTGGCATTTTTAAGGACAACATCAAAGAAAATGACAGTGGTCTGCTCACAGTTCGACAAAATCGGAACAATAAAAGGTAGGCTGAATTTTTTTTTCTTTTCTATATTGTTGCTAGAATGTTTTAACATGCCTATAGTTACATGCTGATACGTGTTCCCTGCTTCCTTGAACTTTCAGATCCCCACAATGACCAAACATATGCCTTCTGGAGGCCTGATGCACCTCCTGGTTTTGCTGTTCTTGGGGATTATCTGACACCATTGTTAGTGGCCATTCTTTAATTGTACCTTGTGGTTCTCTTAATATTGATGGTTTTAATGTCATATCTTAGTTGTACCTCATGGTTCTCTTTAAATATTCACTTTTACTAAAAAATATGAAGGCTTTCATTTCTTAAACTGATAATATAAATTTCTTATGACAGGGACAAGCCACCTACAACAGCAGTTCTTGCTATAAATACCAATTTTTCTAGAGTCAAGAAACCCATATCTTTTAAACTGATTTGGCCACCTTTACCTTCCGAGGGCTCATCTGTTCATGGTGTAAATGATTCTGATTCTTTACCAAATGACGTCCTTTCTGATGGAGATAGTTGTTCCATTTGGTTTCCTGAAGCGCCTAATGGATATGTTGCGTTGGGCTGTGTGGTTTCCCCAGGAAGAACACAACCACCACTTTCAGCTGCTTTTTGTATCTTGGCTTCTTTGGTTTCTTCTTGTTCCTTAAGGGATTGCGTTGCAATCAGCACCACAAATCTGTATGTCGTACTTTCAGACTTTGTTACTTTTAATAAGTTCAGATTACACCAGGGTTGCCAATGGTTCATACCAGCACAGTTCCAAATTAGGCAGGACTTAATACAGTTTCGATGGTTTAACATTTAGTAAATCTGATCCAACAAAAGTTGAATCATATTATAGTATATTTGAATTGCAGTTTTTTCCTTGAAAAAATAATCGTCAAGTCAGAGATAATATTGTGCAAGTTATCAGTCTTTTCCAGAACATAATGGAAACATAGAATATATATTTGCTTTCTTCTTGGCTCCAAACTTCAACATATTGTAAGAACTCTTTCAGATTTTGGGGGTATCCATATATTCTTCCATATAATTGGACTTGTACATATATCCTGGTAGATCCAACTAGAATGACCCATTGATAGCCTTATGTTAGGGCATCTTCTTTTCTGGTTCTTGGGAAACTATAACGCGAGGAATAGTTTTATGATTAAATAATTCCTATCCTGTCTGTCTGAATGCTATTTGTTTTGATAAGAAATGGTTAGAACTTTTGATTTGTCATTCCATTTTAAATTGCAGATATCAGTCAAGTGTAGCATTCTGGCGTGTGGATAACTCTGTTGGCACCTTTTTGCCAGCAGATCCTAGTACTTCTACTTTAATGGGTACAGCATATGATTTGCGTCACATGATATTTGGATTGCCAGAAGCGTCTGTAAAGTCATCTGATCGTTTGGATGTGCAAGCTGCTTCTGCTCAGAGTCACAACATTCAATCAGAAGTATCAACATCTGTAAATTCTGCTCAGCGTTATGAAGCTGTTGCTAGTTTCCGATTGATATGGTGGAATCAGAGCTCTAACTCAAGGAAGAAACTGTCCATATGGCGTCCAGTTGTCCCTCATGGGATGGTATATTTTGGTGATATTGCAATCAAAGGGTATATGATAATGGATATCTTATTCTTATTACATTCTGTGTTTGTTTTCTTTTGTTGTATCTAAGTAACATAAGTTTTGATGGTTACTAAACTTAGGTATGAGCCTCCAAATAACTGCATTGTTCTTCATGATACTGGAGACGAAGGGATCTTCAAAGCCCCCCTTGATTTCCAACTTGTTGGGCAAATTAAGAAACAGAGGGGAATGGAGAGTATATCTTTCTGGCTTCCTCAAGCTCCTCCAGGTTTTGTTGCTCTTGGTTGCATAGCATGTAAGGGAACACCAAAACAGAGTGATTTCAGCTCATTAAGATGTATGCGCAGTGATATGGTAGCTGGGGATCAATTTTTGGAGGAAAGTGTATGGGATACATCTGATGCCAAGCTTACAAGAGATTCATTTAGTATATGGGCAGTTAGCAATGAGTTGGGGACCTTTATAGTTCGTGGTGGATTCAAGAAACCTCCAAGAAGGTTTGCTTTAAAGTTGGCTGACTCACATGTACCAAGTGGCTCGGATGATACTGTAATTGATGCAGAATTTAGAACTTTTTCTGCAGCACTTTTTGATGACTATGGTGGCTTGGTGAGAATTCATACTCTTTCATATAGAATTTAAATTAACTGTTACATGCTGAAATTTCTCCTGGTTAAAAGTAGTGTGTGATGAGTAATGAAGTATGCGAAGGAATTTTTATTTCCTGTAAAAGTATTTTTAAAAAAAACATTATGTTTTTTTAGTTGGTGGAATCAGTAATTCTGACTCCTGAAAGTTTGGAAAACCAATGAAGTTTCTCTCATACATTTAATGGGAAAGCACTTACTGTTACATAGTTGATTTCCTGGTAGAAAGCTTTTCTGAGGGTGGGGCTTGACCAGTTGAACGGTAGTAATTTTGTGTTTGATATAATTTGTTTAACGAGAAAGGACAGGGCCTTGGAGAAGAGATGGAAGAGAACAAGGGTATATTGACATAATATTTCTATGGACTTATTCTCCTAGTTTTTTTGGGTTTACCTTTTTTGGTAGCTTCATACTCTTCAATGGATTGCTTTGGTGTTCTTTTATGCCCCAATTTTTATTTGAATTTGTGTTCATCCTTCATATTCAGCTTCATGTTCTTTGAACTTTTGTATGCATTTACTTATTCTTTTGTTGGTTTAGATCTCGTGTTCTCTGTTCTTCTGATGAAACCTTTTATACTTTGTATTCATGTTCTGAATTGTACATAATTAAACTTTTTATCTTCTTTTCTTAAAGAAAATAATTTTTTTTTTTTGAGAAACGAAATTTATAAAGCAAAAGAACACGGAGGTGGATAAGGCAACCACAACCGAAGAAGAACAACAACACAAAAAGAAAAAAACAACACCAACCCCTCCCAAACTAACAGGGAGGAACAAAGCCAAAAAACCACTGAAACAACACACCCCCAACCCTCACATAACCACTGCTGCCATATCCCTCAAAATAGTAGAAAGAGAATAATCTTTAAAATCTTCAGTAACAGAAGCCCACAAAGCTGCCCAGTACTTAACTCTATCCCACAAATCACTCACTCCCACTCCCTTGTAGTCTTCAAAAATTCTCCTATTACGCTCCATCCAAATGTTCCAGAAAACAGAGTGAACCAGACAGCCCCACAAGGTTGAGGCGCGCTTCCCCGAACCCCACACCGCCAAAATCAGAACAAAGGAAATCAGCGCACCCTTTCGGAATCACCCAAACGGTCCCAACCTCCCTCCACAAAAGCCCCCAAAGACTTGAGGAAAAGGGACAATGTAAGAAAAGGTGGTCCACACTCTCCTCACCAAGCTTACATAACACACACCACTGAGGAGACAAATACATGAAAAGTCTTTTCCTTTGGACAAGATCCGAAGTGTTAACTTTCCCAAGCGCCACCAACCAAACAATACTTTGACCTTAGGGGGGGACTTGGCCTTCCACACACTAGAGAAAGGAAGAAAGGTCACAACACTCCCCTTGTTGCGTAAAAAGGATTGAAAGGATTTGCAGGTGAAAAAACCCGACACCTCAAGATCCCACCTTCTCCTATCCCTTTTAGAAGCACACAATCTGAAACCTTCCAGAACTTCCAGCAATTTAATCACCTCGGCAGTCTCCCTATCGTTCAGATTTCTCCTGAACCCAAAGTCCCAATTATGAGGAAAAACGTGAGAATCAACAAAACGGTCAATGCTTAAGGACTGCTTTGAAGACAACGCAAACAAGCGCGGTAAAGAGTCCTTCAACAACCCCTCCTTCACCCAACTATCCTCCCAAAACCTAACCTCATTCCCATTTCCCACCTCAAATCTGCAGCACTGTAAAAAGGATTGATAACCTGCCGAAATATCCTTCCAAGGGTTGAGAGAAGTAACCGAAGTGGCGGGAATAGCATCCCACCCATTAGAAGCTGACCCATACTTGCTTTTAACCACCCTAACCCATAGGGAATTAGGTTCCCTAGGAAGGCGCCATAACCATTTAGCTCGCAAAGCTTCGTTCTTTTCCCTCAAAGAACCCACACCAAGCCCACCTTCCTCCTTAGAATTGGCCACAAGTTTATGTTTTTAGTTCATGATTATTGTTATTGAAAGCTGAAAAACCTACTGTTACATTAATTTGCTACTAATTGAAGGTATTTTTCTAATTTTTCTTTTTTGAAAAGAAACATAATTTTATTAAAGTAGGAAAGCTAATTACAAAGAGTGGGAAGAAATTTTTCTTATGATTTTGTTTTATGGAATATGGCAGATGGTTCCATTGTTTAATGTCTCTTTAAGTGGAATTGGGTTCAGTTTGCATGGAAGAACAGAATACTTAAATTCTACTGTGAGCTTCTCTTTGGCTGCTAGATCATATAACGATAAGTATGAAATTTGGGAGCCTCTTGTTGAGCAAATGGATGGATTCTTAAGGTAATTTACTGTACCGCGTCAAATTTTAACACTATATTGGGAACATATGTGATGCATTTAATATTTTGATCAGTACTGAATTGATTGTTTAATTCCATTCCCTGCTTTACTTGCTAGTACTGTTTAAATGTGCTGTAAATTCACAGTTTTAGTAGTAGCATGAACTCCCCCTACCTACCCATTTCTTTTAATTTAGAACAATTTGAATTTCTGGTGTTTCTATTATATTATATTTCAATTGGCCCCAATCTTGGAATTTGAATGATGACTATGCTTTGTTGGTTATGGGTCTCGAGACTATGGTAAGATTCTGAAAAGGAAGATGGCTTGAGGAACATCCGTTGAACAGTTTGTATCTGTTATACTCTTTTTATATAGGGCAAATTACTCAAATGGTCCTCAAATTTGTACCCGATTTACGTTTTGGTCCCTGAACTAAATTATTCATTCAAATGGTCCACCAACTCTTTACTAATTGACGCTTTGGTCCTACCGTTACATTTTCTGTTAAATTTAGTCATGTGAGCAGCACATGCTACATTTGTGGGGGTAAATAAGGCTTTTGACAACTAAAAAATAAAAATATATGATTAAAAATTAAATAATGCAAAATTTTCTTTATTTCTAAAATTAATTAAAAACTATAAAAGAATAAAAAACAACAAAAATAAAAACAAAAGTCTCTCTCTCTCTCTCTCTCTCTCTATTTTCTTCTCCCCAACAGCCATCCCAGCCTCAGCCACAACCCACCCCCAATCCTTACCTCTCCTTCTACTTCCCCTTGTGACCCCCTGTGCGACCCAGCCCCCTATCCCCCTGGCAACAGCTCCCCAGCTGTCTATGGCTGCCACACTTAACCCCACCCCCCACCCCCCACCGCCTCCCTCTTCTCCTCCCTCTCTCTCTCTCTCTCTCTCTCTCTCTCTCTCCATCCATGGGTTTGACTAATCAAATAATCGAACAACTATGAACCAGGAAATGGGGGGAAAAAAATCTCCTAGAAATATACAGAGTGGGGGCCAAATTTGTCTTTACAAAATAATATTTTCAATTGAATCATTTCTGTACTTTGGACTATTTCATACCAGGGCCGCACACTTTTGCTTTGTGTGTGTATATAAGGACTTATGCCTCTCTCATTCTTTGGCCTTGCTATTTTCTTTGAGCTTTCAGAGAAAGTTGAAAAGCTAATAGCAGAGCAGCCTAGCAGAACAAAGAACACAGAGCAGCCTAGATGAAAATCGTAGAGAGTGACCACCACCTCCAACCCCATGAACCCACAACCCAAAACCCCAGCCCCCACGAACCCAGACCCACAAAACCCATCCCCTCCCTACGATTTTCTTCTCTCCCCCCTTGCAATTTTCATCTTCCTCCATCCCCAGAATAGAAAGCAAGCTCTAAAAGCCCTGAAATTTATTCTGCGATTGCTGACGAAGAAGGCCTGAAAATTCATTCAATTCAAACTCTCTCTCTGTCTCTCCATTTTTTTTACTCTTGTTTTCTAGGTTGTACATGGAGAGAGGGGAAGATAGGGTGGGCTATGGGGAAGAGAAGATGGGAGTGCTGGGGCAATGGGGTTATCAGGCTGGGGGTTGGGGGCTGAGAGTTGGGAAATAAGTTTTTTTATTATTTTATTTTATTTTATATTTTATATAAAGTTTTCAATTTATCTACTATTTTATTTAACTGGACCATTTTACCCCTATATTTGATGGCAATATTGACAGAATGTAACGGTAGGACCAAAGCGCCGATTAATAAAGAGTTGGTGGACCATTTGAACGAATAATTTAGTTTAAGGACCAAAATGTAAATCAGGTACAAATTTGAGGACCATTTGAGTAATTTACCCTTTTATATATCAATGAAGACTATTGATATGTGTTCATCTCACTAATGAGCTTGCTAGGATTTTGAATTTAGTTAAATGAGGTCAAGGTGGGTGACTTACCAATGTTAATTTGATGGATGACAAATTGGGTTTGTTAGACAACCACCGGCTCCAAAAGCTTAAGTTGTTAGGGAACTGGCCAAGACGTGGTGAGCCCCTCTGGCACATGAGAGTTAGAAGATGGACGGAGAGCGAGAGAAACAGATAGGTGTAGGTGCAGCCCCACCATGCACCATGAAAACAAAAAAATAAGTGGAAAATATGTATTATTCTTGCACGTTAAATGAAGACATTTGTGTTCGTATCATTCTTGCATGTTAGGTGAAGGCATTTGAAATGGGAAGATATGTAATGGATAGTGTAAAGGGGAGAAGAAATAAGAAAAATTAAAATTTTTGTGACTCCATTAATTGAAAGGTTAGAGAGCTAGATCTTATATCTCATGTGGTGTTTTTCTTGTTCTTTTGGGGTGAAGGGGTGGGGGGAGAAGCTTTGTGTGTGTGTGTATGTTTGTTTGATTCAAATTTTCACATATGCATCGCGTGTAGTTATTCCCTAATTTATGGTTACTTACAGGTATCAATATGATCCCAGTGCTCCAACTGCAGCTTCCCAGTTACGTCTTACCTCTACTAGGGAACTGAACTTGAACGTTTCTGTGTCTAATGCTAATATGATAATTCAAGCTTATGCAAGCTGGAACAGTCTTATTCATGTTAATGAATATCATAGAAAAAGAGTAAATTTCTTCTGGTTCCATCACTACATGAAATTTATCTTGTACGTTTTTTCTCCTTTCTGCAATTGTCGATTATTGCTTACAGTTCTGCATTTTCCTTTTGTTTTAACATGACATTGTATAGGAAGCATCCTCTCCAACAGATGGTGGAGTATCTGTTATTGACGTCCATCACAGGAGAAACTACTATATAATTCCACAAAACAAACTTGGTCAAGATATCTATATTCGAGCTACTGAATTAAGGGGACTCGCAAACATAATTAAGATGCCATCTGGGGATATGAGGCCTCTAAAAGTTCCTGTTTCCAAGAATATGTTGGACTCTCACTTGAAGGGAAAACTTTTCCGTAAAGTTAGAAGAATGGTGACTCTTATCATAGTGGATGGGCAGGTATACCCTCTTTTTTTATGGAGGCAATTGCTTAATTCGTTCCATATATCTTATATTCAAAGAGTATCTGAATTTCAGCTAGTCACAGAATTGTGTTTGTGCATATGTTACATAGTGAAATGGCTTCCCTTATCTTGACTACTCATCTACCTGCAATTGCAGTTCCCACAGGGTAGAGGGTTGACATCCCCCCAGTATACCATAGCAATCCGCCTCATTCCTGACCCGAGTCTCCCTAGTGAATCACTGAGCCATCAACAAAGTGCACGCACTTGTGGAAGTAGCTCGGAACATTTATCTTCAGAGCTTGAGTTGGTCAAGTGGAATGAAATTTTTTTCTTTAAAGTTGATGATCCAGTATGTAGAATGTTTTTCTCTTAACAATTTCTTCCCAATTAAATAACTGCTCTTCTTTTACATGTGCGAGGTCTTTGCACATTTGTTTTCACATCTCTTATCACCAAAATTTGATTTTGTTAAATCATGACTCTTCAACTCAACATGTTCAGTTTTGCTGTATATGGAGGAGAAGGGCTTCACACCCCCTTGGGCACTTTATAAATAAATTTTATTCTTGTGCAAAGAAATTTGTGTAACATCTGTTCACCTAAAATATAATTTGAGAACAATTTCATTCCCTTTGGTTGCTAAGACAAGCTAAGTCAATTTTTTTTAACCCCACGTCACATGTTAAATTTCAGCTTTCATACTTTTCAAATGATAGATATTAATGTTGCTTGTTGATGAATATAGTGCCTACTAGTTATACCATCTGAATTTGGCGCATCATAAATGATTCGTTTTTTAAACGAGGTTGATGCTTGTTTTTTGCTCTGTTTTTTTTTTTTTTTTGTTTTTTGGTGGTTTTTTTTTTTTTTTTTTTTTTTTTTTTTTTTTGCGTGGTTATTTCACAGTATCAACCGTACATCCTTTTGCCTATGTTATATGTCATTTGTTTGGAAGTTGTATGAGCATAAAGTAGCCTTCTTCTTGGTGGTAACATCCTATTTTCATACTCTGTCACCATTTGGTGACCACCTCAACCTATTCTATCCAAATTTGTGCAGGATTACTACTCGGTGGAACTAATTGTCACGGAGCTCGGGAAAGGTACTGCTTTTTCTTTTTTCCCTTACTCAATCTGTTGTTTTTAAAGTTAATACACGATAGGGAACAAAACTGCTAAGTTTATTATTAATCTGCATGCCATAGGGAATATCTATGTTATAAAGATACTCTCTGTTAAGCCTCTGTAGAAAATGTCAACTATAGCCTTCTTATTTGCTAAGTTAAGTACTTAAGGAAAATATGCATTATTTCTCCTCTGTTTATCAAACTATCTATTTTGGACAAGATGCATTTCACTTTTCATGTTTAATTTTACAGGGGTCCCTCTTGGATTCTTTTCAGCCCCTCTAAAGCAGATTGCAGGGAATGTCCATGATGATTCATACGCATATGATAGTGTGAACAAATGGAACTGGGTTGAATTATCCTCGACAAATTCTACGGTAGAGTTCTTTCTCATATCTTAGTAATATCCTTTTTACTTGTCGTATCTGTTTTGTGGCAAAACATGTAGTGTTGCCTCCTTCTAGGGTAAAAATTGATCAAGCATTTACTGACAAGTATATTTTTAAACCTTATAATATTTACGTCAACTGTGATTCAGGGAAATAATGGTGAAACGTCGAGTGGTAGAATCAGATGTGCTGTGCTCTTGTCACCAAGATCTGAAGCTGAGATAAGCGATCAATCAGATAACAGTAACAGAAAATCTGGATTTATTCAGATCAGTCCAAGCAAGGAAGGACCGTGGACTACTGTGAGGTTGAACTATGCTGCACCAGCTGCCTGTTGGCGGTTAGGGAATGATGTTGTTGCTAGTGAAGTACATGTGAAGGATGGCAACCGATATGTCAATATTAGGTCTCTTGTTTCGGTACGTAACAGTACAGATTTTGTACTTGATTTGTGCCTTGCATCAAAAATTTCCATGGAAGAGACGACGTCAACAAATAACGAAAGTACCCCTGAAGGTTTACAAATTCACAGCAATAAACTTCAGACTGATGAGTTCTTTGAAGCTGAAAAATACAGCCCAGGCAGTGGCTGGATTGGCTACATGGTTCAACCAAGCCAAGATATCTTCGAAAGTGGAGGATCTCATCAGGTTAGATATTAGTTGAAGTTGTTCTTGGCATGTGTTAGTAACTCATGTAGCTTGATCTAGTCATTTTTGTTTCTTCTATGCAAGGCTTTTCACATTGAATTTCAATTCTGTTAATGAAGCTTACCATGCTTGATGTAAACTACAATATGGTTTCGTGTTTTATTATTGCCTTGTTTTTTACTTTTATTTCCAATTCTAATCCAAAATTGGAAGCTATAGTATCTGTAAACTATATTTTTATATGGATTGGTAGTATACTTTGTGATTCTTTGGATTAGAGAACAACAAATTTTATAAAAGAGAAAAACTGATACAAAGAAAGATTGAGAAGTCCAGCAAACTTGCAAAAGCGGCAACAAATGCCTTAACAAGAAAATTACAACAGCTCTAGCCAATCAAGACGAGTTACACTAAAGGGGATATCTCTAAATTTATTAGCATAGATAGCCAGCTCTTATCCAAAGTAAAACCTCCTCCATCCTGTCATCAGAGAATGTTTTATTCATTTACCCCAACCAAAACTGCACATCTCCAAAGTGTAAACCACCCTACAAAAGGGTCCTCGGTGAACACAGCAATTTCTCGGTCAAACCCACTCCACTCTAAACTGTTGTGCAACCTACTCACATTGGTCTTGAATATATCTAATTCACTTCTACATATTGATTTAGGGATGGTTAACTCCTTTATTGTCTCTGGCATTATTAGACAGGTTGGAATAGTAATTCTGGAGCCGTTAGCTTGTTTCTGATTACTGTCTGTAATGCAGGGAATTCCTGCTGTTGAGTTACCACCAGGTTGGGAATGGGTTGATGATTGGCATTTGGATATGGCATCTGTTAACACTGCTGACAGTTGGGTTTATGCTCCAGATGTTGATAGTTTAAAATGGCCAGAGTCATTTGATCCCTTAGGGTTTGTAAACCATGCAAGGCAAAGGAGATGGATCAGGAATAGAAAACAAAATGTTACAAATCAAGAAATACATATTGGAATTTTGAAACCTGGAGATACGATATCCCTTCCTCTATCTGGGTTAGCACAACCTGGAATGTATGTCTTGCGTTTAAGGCCATCCAATCTCAGCAATCCTATTGAATATTCTTGGAGTTCAGTGGTGGATGGGTCTGAACAAGCAGAGGATTCTAGTAAGTCAAAACTATGTTCCGGGATAAGTGTGTCATCTCTCACTGAGTCAGAGGAACTGTTGTATTGCACCCAGATAAGTGGTACTTCTTCAAGTGTTCTGCATAAGTTGTGGTTTTGTATGAGTGTACAAGCAACAGAAATTGCAAAAGACATTCATTCTGATCCTATCCAGGATTGGAATCTTGTAATCAAGGCCCCGTTATGCGTCTCCAATTTTATTCCACTTGCTGCTGAATTTTCTGTTCTTGAGATGCAAGAAAGTGGTAACTTTGTTGCCTGCTCCAGAGGAGTGTTTTTTCCAGGAAAAACTGTTGATGTTTATAATGCTGACATAAGAAAGCCTTTGTTTTTTTCACTGCTTCCACAAAGAGGGTGGCTGCCCATACATGTAAGCTTTCATGACCAATCTAGTCCTTGCTCTTTTCTTATGTTGATATTTTTGTTTGGCATAAAATGTTTGTAAATCCGACCATTTCATTTATACGTTTGCAGGAGGCTGTTCTTTTATCACATCCTCATGAAGTTCCGTCAAAAACCATAAGTCTGAGAAGTTCGATATCTGGAAGGTTTCAAATTGAATAATTTGCATAATATATTGTATTGAATATCTTAGCTCTTTTGTACATTTATTGAAGTCTGTTTCTTTTATAGTCTAATCTTGCTAGGTATTGTTTCTGCAGGATTGTTCAAATCATTCTTGAACAGAACTCTAACCAAGAACGACCACTGCAGGCTAAGCTCGTTAGAGTCTATGCTCCTTATTGGTATTCAATTGCTAGGTGTCCCCCTCTCACATTTAGGCTTCTAGATATAAAAGGAAAGAAACATACACGCAAGGTTGGTGGTCCACTTGAATCTAAAAAGAACAATGAAGCTATCCTAGAGGAAATAACTGAAGAGGAAATACATGAAGGCCATACAATTGCTTCAGCTTTGAACTTTAAAATGTTGGGCCTTGCGGTGTCCATTGATCAATCTGGCACGGAGCAGTTTGGACCTGTTAAAGATCTTTCACCCCTTGGTGACATGGTAGATGTCAATCAATATTAACTTTGAATTTAGACATTATTGGTAAAGAAGTCTTGTTAAGATTTTCCCTTTTCTTGTTTTTAGGATGGGTCACTGGATCTCTATGCTTATGATGGTGAAGGCAATTGCATGAGGCTTTTTATTACAACGAAACCATGCCTATATCAATCTGTTCCCACCAAGGTAGTTATAAATATGAGAGATTGCAATGAATCTTTGTATTAGTCATTTACTCTTTGCCCTCTTTCCAGGTAATTTCTGTGCGACCATATATGACTTTTACCAACAGACTTGGTCAGGACATATTTATTAAGTTGTGCAATGAAGATGAGCCAAAGGTCCTTCGAACAACTGATTCAAGAGTCTCATTTGTACATCGTAAATCAGACGGACCTGATAAACTTCAGGTTAGTGGAGTGCATATTGTTATAATACTATTGTCTTGACATATCTACCAATCAACCTTGTATCTTTACTTGTTGACGTGACCCTCCTATAGACTTAACCCTAAAGTTTATGCCCATTGTTGAGAAAAATAAGGGAGCATGAGGTACATTAATCTTAATCCTAAAAGGATCCAAATAAGGTGCAACCTAATCACTTAGGAAATTTCATCGTAGCACTAGTAGGAAACTAATTAACAACCAAATCACTTGACTGAAGAAATTAGATCACAATCCCAACCTGACTTGAAAACCAAATATTCTTATAATTTATTTACAATATACTTTGTTCTGCAACACTCCTTCTCAAGTCCGAGCATTTTTGCATTGCTTAACATGACTTGAGAAATATAACTAACTTAGAACATAAAAGAAAAGAAAAAAAAATAAAAAGCAGAAAAACAGTGTTCCTGGAGAGCTGAGAAGAAAGAGATGTGAAATTAGGAATAAATTCAAATTCAAATATGAATCTTAAGGGAATTTTCTTGGAGGCAAAAGGAAAAAAAGCGGTAGGACCATAGGAGCGTAGGCTAGCGCTAGGAACGTAGGAGGGTGAACCAGTCTGACAAATAAGTTTGAGGATGGAAAGGGTAACATTATAGAGATCGTGGAGGTAGTTGTGAATGTGAAGTAATTACTCTTTGATTGGCTCTGCACTGAAGATGAAAAGGTGGCATTTATGATGGAAGAACTGGATTGGTGCTCAATTTTTGTGGAGAAAGCTAGTTGGCTGGGAACACCTTTCGATGAGAATGAAATTAGAAAATCTGAGTTTGACTGGTTTGAAACATATGATCCAGATGAGATGGCGGTTTCTCAAGATTTTTGGGATGTTGTCAAAGTTGACTTATTGAAGGTTTTCTGGGAACTTTTTCTACACCAAGTTGTTAAAGCTTGTACTAGTATAACTTATATTTGTTACATACCATAGAAAACCCAGTCATTGAGAGTAAAAATAACTAGCCCCATTTGTTCAGTCACACGTCTGTATAAGGTCATAGAAAAGGTGCTATTCATGAGATTGAGGGTAAGTGTGCAAAATTAACTATGTAGAAGTGCAATCTTGATTTCATCCTTAGTGAACTTTCAATTTTCCTTCCAAGTTCCATGAGGTTTGCATTTTATCAACCAACTATTCAGAATTTTTCTTTTAACTATTGTCACGATCAAGAGATTTTATCTTACACACTTTGGCAAATTTTATTACTATATTGTTCTGTTACATTTCTAGGTTCGATTAGAAGACACCGACTGGTCATTTTCCCGTTCAAATTGTAAAGGAAGACACCATATCTCTTGTTTTGAGGAAGCATTGTGGTACTAGGACATTTTTGAGAACAGAAATTCGGGGCTATGAAGAAGGCTCACGTTTCATCGTTCTGTTCCGCCTTGGATCAACCAATGGTCCTATCAGGTACTTGTGTGTTTGTACATGCACAACACACACACACACACACACACACACACACACACAGAGACAGATTTAATGTGTGTATATATATATGTACAAACATATTATATATATAATTAGATATATTTAGAGAGAGAGAGAGAGAGAGAGAGAGAGAGAGAGAGAGAGATGTGACTAACCTATTAAACCTTTGCATCGTCAGAATTGAGAACAGAACAGACAGCAAAACAATTAGCATTCGTCAATCGGGTTTTGGTGAAGATGCCTGGATTCCCATAGCACCTCTTTCGACAACAAATTTTCATGGGAGGATCCTTATGGCCAAAAATTCATACAAGCTAAGGTTGACAGTGAGCTCGAAATTGGACCTTGGGAACTCGATTTGGAAAGGACTGGGATATGTTATGCAGAGGAGGGACTTGGATTACAATTTCACGTTATAGAAACCAGTGATATCAAGGTTGCAAGGTTCACAAACGCCACAACTTCAGGGACAAGTTCACATCGGCAACTTGCTGGAAATTGGGGGCATTCCCACACGCCAAACACCATTCAAAATAATGGTTCCACACCTGTGGAGCTTATAATTGAGTTTGGAGTTGTAGGGGTCTCTATTATAGACCATAGACCAAAAGAGGTGTCCTACTTGTATTTTGAGAGAGTCTTCATATCATATTCAACTGGTTATGATGGTGGGACAACGGCCAGGTAAGAGCATCACCTTCTTAAACTCCTGTAACATTTTCTTCAACATGTGAGTCAGTTGTCATGTTATGTGAAACAGGTTTATCAAATAAAAGGAGCTATTGAATACATTAATTAGGACTCTTGACTGACAGTTACCTCACTTATGAAACCAATAGAGGATACAATAAATATGAAGCAGTGTAAAAGAATCATTTCTTTTGCGTGCCCAAAAGAATCATTTCTTTTGCATGCCCAAAAGAATCATTTCAATACTTAAGAATGTCATATTGATAGTTTATAGAATCAAGGACCTGTTTGGTATTGTTGTGAATTTTAAAATACCACTTTCAGTATGTTGTGAGAAAAATTAGCCTTAGTAAACCAACCAAGTGTTTGGTGAACTGTGGCTGTGAAAGTATTGTGAGTATGAAAGTTTGAATCAAAACCCTAATAAAACAGTTTTCTAATAAAGTTTGAATCATCTGATGTTTACAGGCATTTCCCTAGTTATAGGAAATATATATGAATTATAGATGCATTTTCTTAAATATTAAATGTAGGGACGTTATTGCATGACAAATTTGTTGGGAATAAATCCCACTGGCATCACAAATAAACCGATGGAAAGCTAGAAAATAATGAAGCGCCAAGATGAAAATGAGAGTACAAGAACGCACCAAAATAACTTTCCACAAAGATAACTATCTGAAGCTGTGAACTGTACGGACCATTTCTAATAAAGAAATAGCATCTTAATGCCTTATGGTATTCTCATGGTAAGTAGACTCAACCAGCCCTAATGTTTCTTTAAAACGTGCAATGTGCGCAGTAGATTCCTTTTGGTTGGGAGCAAATTGTGTGGCTTCTTGTAGCTGTTATTGCTCTGAAGAGGTTATGTGGCCAGTAGAAACATTCAGCTAGAGTAAAGATTCATAAGAAAACTAACAGGTTTCTTTTTATTTTAAAGAAAAACAACATTTTTCTATGTTTGGCCTACTCTTTGGGGATGAGAACATCCTTATTGACGATTGTTAATACATTTGTGTGTGAGACATGGAAGAGACAAAGGTTGATACATTTGTGTGTGTGTGTGTGTGAGAGAGAGAGAGAGAGAAGAGAAAAAGGTTGTACAGCTTGTTTTGTTTAAATGTGTGAACAAAAATACGGGTAGATGTAAATAAAATTAAAATTGCTTTGGAATTTTATTTTTATTGTTTGTATATGTGACTATCATTTGCCATTATTGAAATTTTTTAATCAGTTTTTCTGTTTTCCGCCTCCATAGTGGAAAGTGTGCTAGATTTTAATGACTGAAGCATCTTCCGTCTATAACTCTGCGTTATCAGCTCCATCATCACTCAAATGTTGCTTTGCTTATTAGAAATAATGCTTACACCAAACATTTGTGTTCCTTTCTGCCAGGTTCAAGCTCATATTGGGCCATCTGCAGTTGGACAACCAGCTTCCTCTAACATTGATGCCAGTGTTGTTGGCTCCTGAAATGAACTCTGACTTGCATCTTCCAGTGTTCAAGATGACAATAACAATGCGTAATGAAAATATTGATGGTGTCCAGGTGTACCCTTATGTTTATATACGGGTAATTCTTTTTAACATGATGCCTGAAAGGTCTGTATCAATTGCAACAGTGAGATGTTTGCCTAAGCTCTGACCAAATTTTATGATGACATGATAGGTAACTGAGAAGTGTTGGAGGCTTAATATTCATGAACCAATAATTTGGGCATTGGTGGATTTCTACAATAATCTACAGTTAGATCGTGTACCTAAAAGTTCTAGTGTCACAGAAGTTGATCCTGAATTACGCATTGAGTAAGTATCACAGCTTGTTTTTGTGTCCTGAAAAACTGCAATTCATTGGACTTGCAGTGATATAATTCTGGTGTGCTGAAGTGAACTGTGCTTTCTCCTTCTCCAACATCCTTATTTTTGGGTGGTTGAGTGCATATGCCAAGGCTTTGGCTTTTTTTATTTATTAAAAATCAACTTTCGTGTTCAAACTATGTATCAGTGTATAATACATATGTGCAAATTAATAAACTTGGTCCATATCCATTTGTCATTTGCAATAGTATTAATTATGTTTCCTTTTCTTGTGAGGGTTCTCAGTGACTTCGTATTTTTTACCCCTTGGATTGGTACCTTCATAATTCTTTCTCCAACCCCCTCGCTGCCAGGTTGTAGTTTTCCGTCTTTGCTGCCCGTCAACTATTGGGTTTCCCCAAACCTACTAAACACAGTATAGTATGCGTGTTGCAATAGTACATCTAGAATTAGTAGTGTCATCTTTCTACTTATTTTGAAAGTGGCTGGCAAACTTTATAACTCTGTCTACTGATGGGAAATAGAATTGTATTGTCAACTAGCAGGAACTTAATCTTCTGTGATTTGATTATGGGAGTGACGTTTCCTTAATCTTTTTCCCCCTTTCTTTCCAGCCTAATAGATGTTTCAGAAGTTAGGCTGAAGGTTGCATTGGAAACAGCGCCGGCTGAAAGACCTCATGGGGTTCTAGGGGTGTGGAGTCCCATACTATCAGCTGTCGGAAATGCGTTCAAGATTCAGGTCAGCTGTCTGGCTTATCTGGGTGTTTTACTGTGCGTATTGGGTGGTTCCATAGTTGAATGCTATGATTTTCTTTCCAGTTTTTGTATTGACTTTTTTATTATCAATTTTTCCTACTCACATTTGTAAGTATTCTTAAATTTGCAGCAATTTGTATGGCCAAAATGATATGTAGACTTAACATGTTTCCAATCTATTATGTAGTGGTAATATTGGGATGGACGCTATGCTCGTGACACTAATATCTCATTGCTGCAGGTGCATCTTAGAAGGGTGATGCATCGAGACAGATTCATGCGGAAGAGTTCCATTGTTTCTGCCATTGGTAACCGTATTTGGAGAGATCTGATCCATAATCCTTTACATTTGATATTTGCGGTTGATGTACTTGGTATGACAAGTTCAACTTTGGCATCTCTTAGTAAAGGGTTTGCTGAGTTGTCAACTGATGGACAATTTGTGCAACTACGTTCAAAGCAGGTAAGTTCTCATATTAACCTAGAAAACAACAAAGAAAGAAAGATTAGCAGTTCATTTCTATTACAAAAGGCTAATTTTGACATGGTTTCAGGTATCATCAAGGAGAATAACTGGGGTGGGTGATGGAATTATGCAAGGTACAGAAGCATTTGTGCAAGGTGTTGCTTTTGGGGTGTCTGGAGTAGTGAAAAAACCTGTAGAGAGTGCTAGACAGAATGGGTTTTTAGGACTTGTTCATGGGCTTGGACGTGCTTTCGTGGGAGTGATAGTGCAACCAGTCAGTGGGGCATTAGACTTCTTCTCATTGACTGTTGTTGGAATTGGAGCAAGTTGTTCCAAATGCTTAGAGGTTTTTAATAGCAAAACAACCTTCCAGAGAATTAGAAATCCCCGAGCTTTCCGGGCCGATGCTGTACTCAGAGAGTATTGTGAGAGAGAAGCTGTTGGGCAGGTAATTTGTTACCGCTTTTACGTAAATTCTATGTGCAATACTAGAAATTTTATCTCCCATTAGCCGGAGAAGCTATGAGCCTTTTCTTAACTTTGTAAACTTCAGAACAGAGGATGAGAGTTGACTGGTGAGAAGGGTGACTTGAGTGATGGATGGAACTATTTGCATTAGTAATACTGCGAGTCTGAGTGAGTAGGATACATGATCCATACAATATTTGATGACTTGGTGTTTGTGAGCCTGAGATGGTTAAAAGTTCAGGATGAAGTCCTTATGGAGTTTTTGTGATTTTAATTCTTGACTTTAATGAATCATTGTTGAAGCTTGAAATACATGTTGTGTGAAATATGAATGAAAAGTATCTTTTAATTCATACCCTCTGAACTACAAAAGTTGTGAGTGTTTGGTATTTTGGTTTGACACTGCTTCAACCCAAAAGAAGTCAGCTAGGTCTATCATTTTCAGGAAAAGGAGTGTAGCTGTAGTCAGTCACAATTATCTTAATGTACACTTCTTATTTATTTAAATTTTTTTTTCGTAGATGATTTTATACCTTGCAGAAGCACATCGGCATTTTGGTTGTACTGAAATATTCAAGGAGCCCTCAAAGTTTGCTTGGTCCGATTATTATGAAGATCATTTTGTTGTGCCTTACCAACGAATTGTTTTAGTGACCAATAAGCGAGTCATGCTGCTTCAGGTTAGTAACAGTCTTTGCTATAGCCTATAGATGCCTCTGTTGTATGTTACCAAGTTTGTCTGCTTGACATTCAGTCTCTTTTCTTTCCCTTCTAGTGTTTGGCTCCAGACAAAATGGATAAGAAACCTTGCAAGATCATGTGGGATGTACCTTGGGAAGAGCTTATGGCCATGGAGTTGGCAAAAGCAGGCTGCAATCAGCCATCTCACTTGATCCTCCACCTCAAAAATTTTAGGAGATCAGAAAATTTTGTACGGGTTATAAAGTGCAGTGTTGAAGAAACTGAGAGACGAGAACTCCAAGCTCTTAGGATCTGTTCTGTAGTACGTAAGATGTGGAAAGCATATCAGTCTGACATGAAAAGCATAATTCTGAAGGTCAATAGTGTACAAAAGTATAAATTCCTGTAGAGGAGGTAGGATATACCAAACCCTAATATGATTCTCCATTCTCAGGTTCCATCAAGCCAGCGACATGTGTACTTTTCCTGGTCTGAAGCTGATGGGAGAGAACATCATTTACCGGACAAGGCCATTACCAGGCTGAGAGAGCTCCCATCAGACAGTTCTGCATTGGATGGTAGGAGATTTGTAAAACACAGTATTAACTTTTCAAAGATTTGGAGCAGCGAACAAGAATCCAGAGGCCGATGCACGTTATGCAGAAAGCAGGTAATTTAGTGTTCATCCTGCTGTACCTGTGTCCAGTTTTGAAACTTTATTGTCTTCTGGTCGAGAGTTTAGAACCCTGCGGTGGTGCAGTCTTAGATGAAACGTTATTTCATACGTTCAGGTTTCGGGAGATGGTGGAATCTGTAGCATTTGGAGACCCATTTGTCCAGACGGGTAATTATGATCATTGTTTTGTTTTCTATTTTTCTTGAAAACCTTATAATGTTTATTGCATTTAATTCTATTTTATCAGTGACTATATATTTGTATTTATTTATTTATTTGGTGTGAGATCTTGAATGCCAATACTTGTGTAGTTCAATTCTTGATGGCCAAGTTGTAGAATCCTTTCCCGACTATAATTGCATCTTTCTATGCATTAGTCATAGGTCTATGTAGTTTGGAGTAGGAATTTTCATGTGAATTCTCTGTTCCCACAATTAAAGCACTGTTGTTTCTTTCTTTGTTAATATTTATATGAATATTGACATTTTCTTTAAAAGACCCCCAAGTTTCTGTCAGGACATGATTTGAGCCACTAGGATACTGTTTAAAGGCTACTTGTTACCAAACCTTACTAAGTTTGAGAAACTTCCTTTACATTCTTGATCAACTGAAGGGGACTGGAATGTTGAGGAAATGCTTTTTCTGTGGCTGAGCTAAAGCTTTGGCGGCTAGGGAATATCACAGGTTTAAACTCACACCCCTCCTATCCCACTTTTCCCCAATCAAAGGAGAAAAGTCAAGACAAGACAAAAATGGTCGTTTGTGGTTCTCTTTTATTGCCTTTTATATAATGTGATTTACAAAAACGAAATTCACGTCTCAAGTGGTGCCATCAAGATGCTATATGTTGCAAGAAAGTAGAACCCTGGGTTTCAATTTATATTCTAATTTCAGTCTCCTGAAAGTATGCATTTCTCCCATCCTCTTTGGTTCATGTACTTTCAAGAACTGAATAATTGGGTGGAGTATGGATATATCCCTGCGCTGCTGCCTCTACTTTGATCGTCTCCATTCCATGTTGTAATTTCTGTTTGTGGTTTGTTTGTATATCCTGTTTGCTTTTCTTTTCAATTAAAAAAAAAGTACGCATTTGACCACCAGATGCTGCTAACTCACTTGTTATCATTGCCAAATTTGAAGTGTTTTTTTTTCTTCCAGTTATGTCTCCATTGGTGATATTGCTCACATTGGCAGCCATCCTCCAAATGTTGCCGCAGTTTACCGTAAGGTTGACAGATTGTTTGCACCTCCAGTTGGTTATGACCTGGTAAGAAATTTATAATTAAATCACGAATGTAAAACCTGGTTAGGTATGTTTTTCATCTGGGTATAACCTAGTTAGGCTAGTGTCTAGGATTGTCAACATTTCTAGGTCATCTCTCTCGATATAACTCTAGGATTATTAGAACTTCTAGGTCCTTGTTTGGCCCCATTGTAGTATGGCTTCTCTCTCAATATAACTTCCTGGGAGAGTGATCGATGAATTGTGGTGTTTTCTTGTGCCCCCATCTTCAGTTGAAATATGTATGTTTTCTTTTCATATACAGTCAAGTCATGTGTGAAATAGTCAAAACACCATTTGATTTGTCACATAACAACAATTGGAATGAAAATGGGGGATATTGGAAAATCTGATCATAAATCGTTCACTCATTTGGATTGAGATTAAGTTTGTTCAATATAGTCTTATCACTCCAGTTAGTGGTGACTACTTTGATTACGTATGGCATTGAACTATGATGAGCCCAATGCAGCTTGAAGTTTTCTGATAAGCTTAATGGTTCCTATTATAGAATGGTTTTTTTTCGGGTCAAATATTGATGACCTCTCTTTGGTCATCTATTATATAAATGGTTAATATATGTACATATGCAGGTATGGAGGAACTGCATGGATGACTACACAACACCGATATCGATTTGGCATCCTCGGGCCCCGGAGGGTTATGTATCTCCTGGATGCATTGCAGTGGCTAGATTTGTTGAACCCGAACTTGATGTAGTGTACTGCATAGCTGAATCACTTGCTGAAGAGACGGAATTTGAAGAGCAAAAGGTTTGGTCGGCTCCAGATTCTTACCCGTGGGCATGCCACATTTATCAAGTCCACAGCGATGCTCTTCACTTTGTGGCTCTAAGACAAGCCAAGGAAGAATCTGACTGGAAACCTATGAGGGTTCTTGATGATCCTCAGCCTCTATTGGAGTCACTAAAAGAGACCTGAAATGTGGGTTTATATTGCAAGGCCTTTCCAAATTTTGCTAGTTAAATTTCAACCAAAAAGAAAAGGAAAAAAAAAGGGCTTGATCATACATCAAATTCTGAGTGTATAGTACTGTATAGCATGTCTTCTCTCTTCTTATAGTTTTTTATGCAATTTGCATCTGATAGTTGAGGCAACTTGTATCACTATGATGTCTCTCTATAATCCATTGCCAGTTGATTTTCGGCTCGAGGTTGATACAATGCTTACCAAATATGGGAGAACAGATTGTCAAATTTCATAATTCTAAATAAGGACTCATCTGCCCAGAAATTATTTTTTGATGACTTCTGCCATTTTATTGGGCCCATTTCAATTCGTTGGGTAGTCAAATCACACTTGAAACAATTGTTAATTAAATATATTTTTTCCAGTATTTAACATTGTGAAGTGTTGAAGATTCATTTTACAAGCGTATCGAAATTTGCTTGCATAATTCCACCTTAAAGCAATTCTATCACTACCACCACTTGAAGAAGCGCCCTTGCGGTCGCACCCACTGTTGCTTGAAGCAACAAAATACGTGACAAATTTGAACGTACAGATGTGAAAACTCTTTACACACAAAAAGGAATATGTGAGTGCCCGTGCTAAGTGCACTGGGGACGGGAAGCAGCCCTGCACATAAATGTGTGTGTCTCGAGTCTGTCCGCAAATAAAGAAAAGGAAAAGGCTTTTTTGGTTTGAAGGAAGGAAAAGCCTCGCAAAAAATAGTTTTGCAAACTGCAATGAATGCTTTGTATGGCAACCACCAAATTTGCCGACACTCTTATCCGTGTTGAGGGGTTTATGTATGTCTTGCATTGACTTCTTATTATAATATTCACAATGAGATCGTACCACCTCAATTAGCAAAATATTATAATTGATTTGTTAACTCTCGATCTCGAGACAAATGCTCTTACAACTGAATTTGTTAACAAACTCACAGAATATCCTAATGAAAAAATATTATTAATGTTTTCACATAAAAAGTGCATAATTATTTTCTTCCATTTTTAATTTAATGAAATATAAGATATATTAAAAGTTGCCATTACCCGCCACTCCTTCACTCCTAACTACCTTCATCTTCTTCAACCTTTCGGATCTCTCTCACCTTTCCATCTGTGAAATTCAATGGAGGGTCTGATCAAGGGTTTGATCGATGTGGCGCTCGGTCGCGACGAGAACAGGAATGAAGATCCGGGCCCACGGGACCGGGAGGAACAGTCCAGATCCACCTGGGCTCAGGTAAGCTACCACCACTCTTATTTTTCAAAAGCCTTTTGAATTTCTCGATCTTAGATCACAAGTTAAAGAGTTGAATTTTGGTGTTGCTTGTACCTGCTAAAATGCGCAGGTAGTGTCCGGGGAGGAGCAAGATGAGCATGACAGTGATCGCCCACATGGGTCCAAGCAGAGTCATTGGAATCGACAGGTTTGGTTTGGATTGCATTGGGGTTTTTGGGTTTTGGTTTTGTTTACTGTGAAATTACTGTGAACTGCAAGTGTGAAAACTTGCAGGAACAGAGTCATTTGGGGCGTGCAGAGTGGGACAATGTGGATTCGGAACTTTCAAGGCGACCCCACAAGGTGAATTGTATATTTTAAGTAGTTAATTTACTTATTTGTTTGAAATTTTGTTATGGGATTTGGATTTGTGGTAGGTTGGATTTGTTGAACATCATTGTTCTAAATCTGAAGAACCCATTTTCTAGAAAGAAAACATCTTTAGGTTTTTGTACATAATATCCAAAATTTAATGACTGAAGCATAAGGAACAATGAAATTCAACGATAATCTTCCTTTTCATAGAGGATCAGGCTTCCCTATTGATTATCATATGGATGATATAATGAAAGAAAGAATTCGTGGTTTCGAAAGAACTTATGATCTTCATCATCATACTTAAGTGACCTTTTTGTTTTGTGGGTTTTAATGTCCTTTGTATCTCTTCATGTGTCATATCCTCACAGATATCTCAAATGCAGGCTGCACATGAGGGATATGAAAGGAATGATGATGGTGGACGACATGGTTATAACCAAAACTACTCAAGGAGGAAGGTTTGCCTTATTTTAATTATCTGATTAATTTTAATTTAGTGGGATTCATTTCGAACATTTTGGTTATATTTTATTATCCATGTTGAAGGATGAAGAGGAAAATAAGGATGGCTGGGAGACTGTTGGAAAGAGGCCTCCAAGGCAACAACCACACAAGGTTTGTTTTCTTCGTTTGAGTTTATCAAACATCAAAAAGGCACCTACAGATATTGGTTCCATTTTCATTATCTGGGGGCAGCATAATCTGTAAACTGTCAAAAAGTTTGGTCTTAACTTTTTGATGTTGGGTTATAGTTTGTTTTTTCAGTAGATTGGTTTCTTAGCTGCATTTTTCCTAGATAAGTTGGGCTTGTAGCCTTGAAACAGTTTCATCCAATATCCATGTAGGGCATTAACTAACTTGTACTTCTATTGAGTTGAAGCTATTAGAAATTAATCTTGAATTATATGAATTACAGACTTCTGCTACTTTTCCTTTTTTTCCTTGTTGACTATGCAATATTATAAGTTCATAACATTCTGATCTATTCTATTTCCTAGAGGTCTTGTCTTATTAATTTAAGTTTTAAAAAAATGAATTTGTAATCTCCTTATGTAATGCTCGCTAAATAAAAAATCAACAGATTCAGATGGGCCAGTGGAATGGATATAAACGGCCTTCCACTGAGCAAAAATACTCTGATGAGGCTGAAGTAGGTCCTAAAATAGAACCTTCTGAAGAAGAGCTTTCTGATCTGTCACGAGCTTGCAGTAAAATTTGGGAACTTGATTTAAACCGTTTAGTGCCTGGAAAGGACTATGAAATTGACTGTGGTGGAGGGAAGAAGGTCTACCAAAAGGAAGATTTGGCAGAAGGCAGCTTATTTACCTGGCTGAGTGAAGATATATTCAGGAGACCTACTTTTTCTCGTTTCTGTTCTCTTTTAGATAATTACAACCCAAATGAGGGGTGCAAAGAAGTTATCACATCTGAGGAGAAGCAAGAGCAGGCTGCATTCATAGAAGAAATCAGCAGAACTGCTCCCATTAAATATCTTCACAAGTATCTCTCACGCAAGGGCATTCTATCTGAGAGCTATCAAGATTTTAAAAGAACATTGACCACTCTCTGGTTTGATCTCTATGGCCGTGGTGGTACATCTGCTTCCTCCTCTGCTTTTGAACACGTTTTTGTTGGAGAAATTAAGCAACGTGGTGAAGAAGAGGTTTCGGGCTTCCACAACTGGCTTCAGGTTGTCTTCTATGACTTACTCTTTACCTATATTTTGCATTTTTATTGTATCTTATCATGTCAACATAAATATGATGTTAATTGAGATGTGTGTTCGGTGTTATTTTCTTGTCTCCTTTTCTTTTCTCTCCCCATCTATCTAAAGTGGTCTTACTCGTGAATGCTAAGTATCTTTATTCTATATCTTCCCAGTTTTACCTTGAAGAAGCAAAAGGAAGAGTTGACTATCAAGGTTATATTTTCCCCCGTCGACGTGGGCAAACTGTAAGTAATTCTATCAAGTGTTCTGCCTACGAGACTACAAGATAGTGGAAATGGGATTACTTGAAACGAGATAAAGCTTTCTTACACTTTCTTGCATCACATTTAAGGGTATTTAATTATGATATTATGTTTAACTGAACTCCTTATGGACTCCTTATGGAATATGAAGTAACAAAACATTCAAGAAATTATTAACTGAGAAGTAAATGATAAGTAATGCAATGACTTCCCTCCAACTGTAGAAAGATGCAAGAATAACTCATGAAGGTCTCACAATTTGAGACTTGAGGCTGTGCATTGATGACTTGCGCAAAGATATTTGTCTTTCTTTTTTGTTTCTATTTCCAGTGCTAACAAACATGCTAAATCATATTTTAACATTAAATATCTTAATAATCTCATTGAGACTCTTGAAGAATTCATTACTGTGGAAGCAAATTCAGAGCTTAGCTTCGAACAGAACTTCCTTTTATGTTCAGTTTATGGTAAAGAATGGTTTCCCTATTTTTGCTGCCCCGTGAGGAAGGAACTGAACTTTTAGCATCATCTCATCATATATATATTTTTTTTGGAAACCTGCCATTCTTGAATATGAATTTTTGTCCTGCTCTGACTTGGAAAGTATTATGTCTACTAAATTGCAATTGCAGCCAGACTCTGAAACCCAGTTGCTTACGATCCAGTTCGAATGGAACGGTGTTTTGAAAGCTGTATCAAGCACTTTAGTTGGAGTGAGCCCAGAATTTGAAATTGCATTGTACACCCTGTGTTTCTTCATGGGTGGAGAGGACAACCATATTGAGCTGGGTCCATACCAAGTTAACATTAAATGCTATCGCTTCGGAGACAGAATTGGATCTGTGTTTCCTATGGCAGAATGTTGATCTCAGGGTTTAAGCCAAACAACTTATTGTCCTATAAGATTGAGTTATGTGTAGGTGAAATTATACTGAAAGTACAGGGCAATGACAATAATTTGTATTGGAGTGTACAATAATTTGTATTGGAGTGTGATAAGATTTGTAACTTATAATTGAAGCCGCTATTAAGAATTTTATGCACCAACTAGCCTTTCTTCGTATTTTCCCCCTGCGGATGAAAAAAGAAAGAAAACATCACATAAATTCAGATGAAACATTTCTGTATCATACTTCAGCTCAGTTGTGTATACAGGCTGATAGCTGACCAGGCTATGGATGCTGCAGAGCTTCTCGCCATCTCTAATTCTTCAATTGCCTTTACTCATTTCATCTTCGTTGTCAAGAATTTCAAAAAAAAAATTTGATGAAGAAGAATTTCAAAATTTAATTTGACAGAAACCAAAGCAAATATCTTCAGCTTTTGGTCTTGGAGAAAGGAAAATAACGAGAAACTCAAACCTTTTTTTTTAATTTAAGAAAAAGCAAATCAGAGTTTGAATCTTGCATAAAAACGCAACCATCCAACAGAAAACGTTTGGTACGAACTTAGTACATTTTGCCCCGAATTAAATTTCTAAAAAACCAAGAATTAACATTCATAGTCAATTTTCTTTTCTTTATTTCTTTATTTCCAAAAATTTCTCACCCACAATTAAAAAAAAAACTCATTCATAATTCATTTATTAATATTTTACTAAAAATACTTGATTTATTAGGGTAATGAATTATCAAAATCGGAATATAATCAGGTTATGAAACCATCTATTTGCATTTGCATGGGAATCGATTTAAGGCCCAAAAGTGACACATGTCTAGAAAAAAAATCAGATTGAAATATGATCCAAAATCAGGGCCAGTTCATAACCATATTTGTAATCAAATGGGTTTATTTAGCCTCATTAAAACTTTGCTTTAAAAAATCTCCAAAGGAGGAAAACTGCACCATCTCAGTTTTTCTTGGTGATTGTACTTGGTTTTTTCCAGTATCAATGAAGGCTATTTTTCCTAATTAAAAAAGAGTGCTACTATTTCTACCCTCTTGTCCTATTTCCCCACCCACCTTATCTTCAAAATTTTAAAGACAAATTTACCCATTTATAAAATGACTTCTATGGACTTAGGAAAAAATATTTAATATTTAATATGAAGTTAAAAATAATGAAATTAAATGTAAAATGTAAAATGTAAATATTTTATAAAAAAAACTTTAACAAAGGAAAAAGCTTTAAAATAAAAAATTCATCTCCAATTTTTCATAAAAATAAAAAATCATCCCCAACAGCCCTCTCCATATCACCCCACCATCTCCTTACCCCCACCCTACCCCCTCGCGTCACCGCCACCCACCCCTACCCTCTCCTTATTGACCTAACTCAGCCTCTCTCTCTCTCTCTCTCTCTCTCTGCAAGTTCTTGTTACCCGCTATTGGATTTTTTTGTTTTGATCAAAGTAGGCTTTCATTAACGAAGAGGACAAACAGATCGTACAAAGCTAGGCTTCCAAAAAGGAAAACCACGCAACCACAAAAAAAAAAAAAAAAAAAAAAAAAAAAAAAAGTAAAAACGTACAAAGAAACTGAAATACAAGGAAACAAATTTGTTACCCGCCATTGGATTTGTGATGCAATGTTTATGGTTTTCAATTCTTCCCAAATTTGAAGTTAGTTTCAATTCCTCAATTTCTATCTACACAGACAACTCTCAAACTCGGGTTATGTATTTAAATTCATATGGATGATTTACAAAAACAAAGGTGGGATGCACTATAAAGGGTATTTTAGGAATAATGGTGGGTGGAAAAATATGATTATGTTTTTCCAAATTTATATAGTGGGTGGAAAGATAAAGTGGGTGGAAAAATAAGATAGGTGGGTGGAAATAGCAGCACTCTTAAAAAAAGGGTTAATTTGAAATCAAGTGGATTTTGGACTATAAATTTTACCATCCTTTTTAAACTATACGAATTTGTAAGGTTCAGATATGAATTTGAAATCTATACCACAGACAAAGTATGTAATTATATTCTATATTGAGAATTTGAAATTATTTATATATAGTAATTACAACAACAATGACATGAAAAATTGAAAGTTTATTAAGGAGGGTGTATTCAATTGAGATTTTAATGGATTGTTTTGAAGCTTAAAGGTACAGTGATATTCAATTATAATTTTTAAGTAATCAATAAAAGTTTGGTGGTATTCAATTAGGATTTTTAAAAGATAAGAAAAGTACGGTGATATTAAAAAACTTACTGATTTAAATGTATTTCATTAAATGGTGTATTGTGTGAGACTTTTGAGTGTGTGATATATATACCAAATCACATAACAAATCTCAACCTCCTATGCCTGATTCTCATATATACTCTCATATCTTTTTTTCCCCATTATTTTTTTATGCTTACTGTGTAAAAAGATTAGTCATATCTAGCAAAATCTGTTGAAAAATAGATGAAGATAGGTAGAACAAACATTGGGCGATGCCCATCCAAACAAAGATAAAATTAAAATTAAAACACGAGGGTAAAGGGTGAAGTCTGTAATGCAAAAGATCTACGGTCATGGTGTAGCTTCTTGAAACTTGAGCTCTAATCAAACTCGTGATTCACCAGAAAACTAAAGGCAGAAAATTTCCACTATAGTTTTTGGGTGCATCACATATCGACCATAATTCATCTTCAGGAATAAGCAACGTTGACATCAACATCAAACTTTTCAATGGAATTAAGCTCTAATTGAATCAATGATTTACCAGAAAGCTAATTTGAGAAGCAAACTCTCCAACTAGTTTTTTGGTACATCATCGACCAACTAGAGCTCACCTCCAGCTTTACCAATCAAAGGAAGTAATAATTTTTGTGCGAACTCTGGCCTATATGCATTAGTATATATAGGGGGTCTTAGACTCTTAGTGGATACTTAAAGAATATTGGCCAATATATAAAATAAACAAAAATTAATTTTAATAGTAATCTACCAATTAAGCTAACGTCATTAATGTTGTGTATATTTGGAATGATAATTTTTTTTTGGGGGGGTAAATATCACGAGGTGTCCCCACACCCGAAGGGGAGGATTAATCCCCGCTCGGGGTTTGGCTTGCCCCCAACCACATAGTACTTCCAACAGATTTAGAATAATAATTTTAAATTTAATGAAATAATTGTCATTTTTAAATGGCAAGTAATTGTTAAAGTTGTACTGTAAATATGTTTCCTAAGGAGTTGATAAAAAGGTCTAAACATTGCAAATTAAAATTGCTCTGCATTCAGTGTACGATGTACCTATTATAACTTACTTTCTATCAAGGTTTAAAGTATCGATGATTTCGGAAATATCGATAGTTCAAAAACACAGAAATTTCAATGGAAATATCGGGAAATTATCGACATCAAGAAAAATGAAATAAAAACCATGGAAATTGTAAAAAAAAAACTTGGAAATTTTTCTTGAAACTTTGGAGGATATTTATTTAGTCAATTATCTATTACTTCATCACAAAAAATTGGAAGGAAATGCATTGCATGATAGGTTTACCTGATTTAAGTTGATTATATAGCATTGCATCAAATTTGAGTTATTTACACTAACATCCCCTGAGGTTTTTTGTTTTTTCACAAAACCCTTTGAGGTTTTAGAAATTATAAGAACACCCCATGATGTTTTAAATTGTTTTCACAAAACTCCTTTTCATTGATTTTATACAAAAAATTCTCCAAATGACAAAGTTGGCCTTTGAGATTAGATTGCATATACTTCATTGAGGTTAATTTTGTCATTTGCATACGTTTTTATTTCAAGTCATCAATTTTTGGACAAATAATCAACAAAAAAGGGTTTTGTGAAAACAAACTGAAACCTCATGGGGTGTTCGTGTAATTTTTGAGACCTAAGGGGGTTTTGTGAAAACATAAGAAACCTCAGGGGGGTGTTTGTGTAAATAACTCTTCAAATTTTTCACAGTCTTCATCATCTCGATATTATCGATATTACAGCGATATTATAGCTATAATTTGGCCAAATGTTGTTGAAGTGCGATATTTTTCGATATTATCGATATTTATACGATATGTGTATGAACATGTTCCAAAATATCCTAAACCCGAAAAAACGATAATATCAATATTATCGATATTTTAGTCCTTGCTTTCTATTTAGTCAATTTTCTTTTCTTTGTACTTTCCTTAATTGGAAAATATTCTAGTGAATTTTCTTTTCTTGTACTTTCTTAATGAGCCTAGCTCCTTGGGCTCATTAAGAGACTGATTTTGTCTACCATCTCATCATATTATATTTTCCTTAACAGAACTTGCTAACAACACCAATAATAAGAGTGCTATTATTTCCACCCACCCGTCCTATTTTCCCACCCACCTTTATCTTCAAAATTTAAAAACAAATTTATTCATTTGTATAATGACTTTTAAGGACTTAGATATATAAAAATAAAAAAAATAAAAACACCTATTCTCCTTCATCCTTGTCAACCCCAACCCCTCCATTCTCTCCCTCATCCCGACCAAACCCAAATCAAAGTTCCAATAAAGCTTCAAAATTTCCAACTGGTCCAATACAATTCCATCAGATTTCTCCTCAGTTTCTAAACCCAGGGACACAAGCTTTTTTTGTTTCATTTGATCAGTTTGCTCTTCGTCTTCTTTCTAATTCTAGCATTTCTCTCCGTTATTTTTTACGTTTAGTGGAGAGACGATGAACATTGAGAGTGATTTTTTTATTTTTTATTTTTAATAATACTTTACAGAGGATCCCATGCGTTTTGATTGACAGAGGTTGAAGATTTGAAGCATGCTTTGAATGAAAGGAGAATTTACTTGAATTAATAATTAAATGATATTTTAGGAATAATGGTGGGTGTAAAAATAAAATTGTGTTTTTTCAAATTTACATGGTGGGTGGGAAGATAAGGTGAGTAGGGAAATAAGACTGGGGGGTGGAAATAGTA